TCATTGTTCATTAAGATATTAATTGTTGAATGCAGCGCATTGAAAAAGCGTGTTCCGCGCCCCCGTGTGTTCCGCGCTCACGTGGCCCGCGTTAGTCCCGCTGTGGATGAATAACACGCGTTTGGTAGGCCTGCTACATTCTCCACATCGGCTTACTACTGATTGCTGTACATGATAGCTTTGCTCATGCACATATATGGATCACGGACACGCATACTATAATCTTTCGTCTCGGGTTCGACGTTATCATCGTATCGTAAGACTCACTTCCTAGGTATAGTTGGGGCTTGAAAGGAGTTGCCTGGCCCTTCCGAAACCACGTGCAACCCAAGTCGACAATCTAGACCCACTCATGACTGCACTTCATCGATCACATTCGTCGTTGCGCGAGTGTAGAGCCATCATGCTCTCGCCGGCAGAATGATTATAGCAGTATGCACATCCACGTTGGAAATTGCGTAGAAAGAGCACTCTGGCGTGAGACGCGATTCTAGCGATGCCCAGATCTTGCGGTGGCATATACAGCTTCAAAATATCGGGAAGGAGCACAATCGAGTTCCAGCACAGTGACCCGCATTGATGACATTCTAAGATGCATGTCCTCTGATCGATGTCGAAGCGGACCGCAGTGTAGTGCGACGCGACGCGATATTGGGGACTGAACTTATAGCGCGTCCTCGAATGGCAGCTCAGAGGAACCGTGGGACGATAATCTTGCCAACAGTAATATCATAATTTCGTCCTTCGACCTATGAGGTACCTCGCAACCGGAGGACTGCGCCTTGAAGTGCCATGAGAGCACCCACCAGCGCAACGAAAGCAAAAAGCAAAGCAGGCAAGAGCCACATTGGAAAGACCCTCGGACGTGCGCCACTGTACTGTATCAGTCCCTGTACCTCACGGTCAAATGCTTCCGTCATCTTGGTTTGCGAAAACTCTGCACGCACGCGTTCTCGACCGCGGGTCCCCATGGCGCGCAGCGTCGTCTCGCTCGAGGGAATCAACGGCTTGCGCATGACGTCAGTCCATTGTTGAACCTTGTCTGGACCTCGCAGCCAGCCGGTGCGACCATCATATATAGTCTCCAGAGGTCCGCCGGTATTGGTAGCAAGGACCGGGACGCCTGCGAGCATCGCCTCTAGAGGCACTATGCCAAAGTGTTCGTTCTCGGGAGTATAAAGCAGTAGACTAGCTGACTGCAGAAGGCGAACCTTCAATTCGTGTGGGATGGAGAGTAGGAAGATGACTTCGGCATTCTCATCTGACAAATCATTTGCAGTGGAACCATGATCCCGCCTTGTTGCATGTGTCAGTTGCAGAGAGTCTGACAGATCGCGGAGGTGGCGGTAAGTGTGATCATTCTCGTGATTACGTGGATCAAAGCCACCAGCGAGGACGAGTTTGGCCTTGCCTCGTTCTTCCGCCGTCAATCCTGCGTAAGCTTTCACGGCAAGATCGAGATTCTTCTTGCCCTCGAACCGATTGATGCTCAGTAAAAGCTTCTTGTTGGGCCACAAGGGTACTTGCATATCAGAAGCCTCCTCCTCGGTGTCCACGCAGGGGTACACGACTTTGAGCTCACGTGAGCGCAGTCTTGGGAACGTCTTCTTGAAGACGCTTCGCGTGAACTTGCTATTGACCACAATGCTGTCCGAGCAAGCAGTGCTCCAATCTTCGACGGCATCAAAGGGCACCCTGTATGCGTTCTTGATGTATTTGCGCAGTCCCGATTCGGGCTTCACCAGTAGCCTGTCCGGGAAATGGCCATAGAATAGAATCCTTGCTTTGGGATAGAGCAATCGGAACAGGGGGATACAAGCGCTCAGCTGGTCAACGATCAAGACATCTGGAGCAAGTTGCCGAAGTTCGCTTGAGAAGACCACAGTGCTGAGGACCAGTGCCACTTGGCGGAGTATTGCGAACAATATGCTTAGGCCGCCGCCAACAGATGATGGGAAGAACTTATCACCACGCACGCGAACATCCAGTGTGCCTTGAGCAGTGAGTCAGTATGGTGTAGCGTCAAGTTTTCAGTCCATCGTTATCTTGCTTGCATCAAGCTAACGAGAGGTTCATTCGGCATACCATCGCGTGCCTCTTCAAAGCAATGCGCCTTGTCGCGGTAAGAAGTGAATATTGTCACGGTGTGACCAAGTGTCTGTAAACCGACAGCGGCGTCGATGACCAGTCGCTCAGCGCCGCCAATGCCAAGGTCAGGATGAACAAAGACGATACTCCTTGGTGAGAATGATTTCGCTGCCATTTTCAAGGACACCTTTCAAGCGATCGCGCTCGTCGACTTCTCGGGAAGCCTCGCGTCTACCGGCGATGCGTGAAGCTCGGGAGTGATCTGACATTGAAATTGAGCCACCCGCGCGCTTCATAGGGCAGACCTGCTACATCGCTTTTGGCTGTCGTCAACTCTAGCTTGTCAGAACATCTTCCTTTCTAAAAATGACCAAGCCTCGACCACCATCTATTAGTGAAGGATGGTGATTGTATCTATTTTACGCTGTTAACATCGCAGAAATCGCACACGTTGCCCAATCCGATGTCTGCCGTGAGCATTGATCACCATTCAAAGATATGGCGTACTCGATCACAGCTTTTTTATGTTCGGGACATTTCCGCTGGATCAGTGGAAAGAACTCCATGACCACGTGAAGCTCGGCGACGGTTGCGCCGTGTCGCACAAGAAGAGGGTGCAGGACGAAGAGATTTGTCCGACGAATTGTTACGGACATCAGGCCATGGGGCATCAACCACTTCACGGACAGTGCTAGAACTCTTCTACCTATGTAGGTGTGACATGCCTCGAATATGTAGCCAGCTGCTGTCTGACACGAGCAAAGAGTCAATCACGGACTTCCAGGATCTTCACAAGTAGAACATATTCCACGCGCGTGTTGGTACACGTTGGGTTGATCGGAGGAGAGTCGAGTGTTTCGTCACAGATTCTTCGCTCCACCTTTGACTGACGACCGCGATATGACCAGCATTGTCCTCGACTCGATGATACCAATCGAATGGTACCCACCTGAGTTGGATTGGCTGCTGTCACATGCCTCTAACGACAGGGAAGTTCGTATATGCTGCCAAGTGCGGTCCCATGCTGTCCCATGCTCGTGGTGTGACGATCTCGTGGGCCTACGAGCTGCCTCCTGAAGATTTTCCTTCAGGTGATCCTGTCGGGGGCTGGATACTTAAGGCCGCTCCTCACCACCTTTCTTTCTTTCCACTCCGCACACCGACATTAACCCTCCGACACACCACACGCACCAAGTCACTCACCACACCTCACAACAACTATTATCAAGCCTTATCACAGCCTTCCCACACTCTCATACCACTTGACTCCACCTTACCGTCGCCAATCTCACATCGCCCTTTGCGATCTCACCTTCACCTCCCTTCGCGGATCACATTGACGTTCACGTTCGACGATCTTTCCCTTCAACGACCCTTGTAGGTCATTCTCACCTCCAGCAATCTCACAAGTCCACCTACGTCGACAGCTTCACACCGTTGTCCACGTTAGACAACACCAAAAGTTCTCCACGTTCGAAAATCTCACATCCATCTCACAACCTACACAAGTAATTCCACATCCTCGCTTTGTCATCACTCAAAACGTGAGGCTCATTAGTCATCTCGTAACACCCCTTCGAGGATCACCGTCAGAAAGTAAACACCCCCTTCAATCCCCTCAAGAAAGCTTATTTGACACACAGGATCACGTGTCGTTCAAAGTCGTCTATCGGTCAAAAGTTCAATCGTTCTTCTCCCAAGCTTCATATGTCTTCTCCCGGCCGTAGCTTTTCCCAGCACAACTCCTTTGAGGCCGAGACCGAGATGGGTGGAGATAAGAGTGCGAAGTCCCTTTTCGTTCACGACACGCCGGAACCAGATAGCATCGAGGACAACGACGAAACCACAGGAAGTGATCAGAATCTGGCGGGAGGTGGCCAGGAAACGATTCCCGCTTCCCCATTTGATCTGCCTCTCCCCGAGAAAGATAAGTCTACCCACCCTCCCGTTGAAGAAAACATCCCCGATGATGCTCAGGACTCTGCCGTTGAGGCCGCTGGTCCGGGCAACGATCAGGAAGCGCTGGAAAATCCGGTCTCAGCCAACGCCGCCGAAGGTAGTGCTGCTATACGACGCAAGCTGGAAGAGTTGCAACGCGAGATGTTCAATCAGTTCAAAGATATGCCCGTTAGTACCGATCAGCACTCCCACGACGACGAAGCTCAGCCCGAGCCTCTCATGCTGTTTGGGGAGGTTCTTGATCCTGCTCCAACATTCCCTTCCGTTCATCAACCGCCTACCGAGTCTATGACCTCCAGATTCCTTACGAGCGGCCTAGGACAACTTGCACGCGAGGATGACGATCCTGGAAGCAGCCTGGATCTTGATGATGATGATGACGATGATCGCTCGGTCTCCGCTCCATCTAGCGTTAAGAAATCCAGCGAATCTTCGCGTAAGCGCAGCACCAGCACTTCTGAAGACGACGAGAGACCAACTCGTCTGAAGCAAACAGCCCGAAGATCCGTAAAGCGCAAGCAGCGAAAAGCCCAAGATGACGAAGACTTTCGCGAAAGCCACAAATCTTCCCGGCGCGGCCGGAAGAGCAAGAACAATGCCAGCGGTAATCAGAGGGATAGTAACAATATCAACGGACCATTATTGATGGGTACAAATGTCTTCCGCAGTCAACGGCAGACTGCAAATCTTCCCGAGCCCACCCGATTTGCCCATGATGCCAAGGACAGAAGTAAAATGACAGCATTCAAATCATACATCAAAGCTGCTTTACCAGAACACAAGGCTGCAGCTAAGAAGGATTGCCAGACGCTGAATTCCGCTCTACGCAAATTTGACGGCCAGGGAGCTGTGAGAGCCAAGCTTGATGATGGGACGTGGCTTTTGAGAGGAATGACCACGGGACTGAAGCCGTTCCAAGTGGTGGGTGCGGCTTTCATGCGGCATCGCGAAAAATCGGAATCTGTTCGGGGCGGCATCATGGCAGATGAAATGGGCCTCGGAAAAACTGTTCAGACGTTGGCAAACATCATGAACAACTTGCCAAATTTGCTAGAGGAGGGACCGCGAGCCACTTTGATCGTTGCAAGTCGAGCAATACTGGCCCAATGGCAGGCAGAGCTGAGGAAGCATTGCAAATCACAGGTTGGACGTGACAGAGACCGCAGGTACGGCTACGGCAAAATTGTCACTCATTACTCCGGGCACCGACTTAAGATGCAAGACGAAGAACTCATTGCAGAGCTTGAAGATGCTCACATTGTCTTCACGACATATTCGGAGATTTCCGCCAGCTTTCCGCAAGCAAGCCCACCAATCTATCTGACCACTGCGGAAGAGAAGAGCCGGTGGTGGAATGACCACTATGAGAAGGATAAGGGTGTTTTCCTCCGCGCTCGGTTCCTCAGAGTCGTCCTCGATGAGGCGCACTGCATCAAGAATCACGACACCCGGATCTCGCAAGCTTGCAGGCACATCGATGCCGTGTAAGTTTTCAATCTATCATTCCGTGACACTCTACTGACATTTGTACGATCAGACACAGATGGGCGTTGACCGGGACGCCTGTCCTCAATGGAATCTCGGAGTATTACGCTTTATTTCTGTTCCTTAAGGTGCCTCTCACAGGCTCATTTCAGATATTTAAGGAAAATTTCTGCGAAGATTTTGAAGGATCACAAAGGCTCACTGCTCTCTTGAGCAAGTACATGATTCGCCGCACCCATAGCAGTACATTCTGCGGCGCCAAGCTGTTGTCCCTGCCAAGAGCAAGTGGAGCGGTGCTTTATCTTGAGTTTACCGAAGTTGAACGTACTATTTACGATATCGGTAAGTGACTACCCCTCCGTATGCAACCTTACTGATTGTTTCTAGTCACGAAGCGTTTCATCGACGAGATCAACAGTATCTTGTTGTCTGACGAGACTCAGAAGCAACGCTGCAGACATGTAAGACCCTGTCCCAGAGAGTTTTGAAATCCCCGTTCAAGCTGATTCTCGATTAGATCTGGACCCTCGTTCTACGGCTCAGGCAGATCACATCCCATGTCCTTCTAGCACAAGAGACCATCACGAGCCTCTTCCAATTGGAAGATTATGAAAAGCTCAATCGGGTTGCTGTGAATGCGACCAGGGCTGCTGGACCTTCGGATGATAGGCTACTTCGCCAGATCGCCCACGCGCTGGATATGGCAAATCCAGAACAAACACAGGCACTTGGCGGAAGCGATCACAACGAAGTCATGCAGCGACTCGCAGATATACCGCCGGCAGCCCACGTTTCCAACACTGGTGGAAATCATGGACGATCGGCAGATTTCACGCCATACATCTCTGAAGTAAGAAGTTCTACGAAGTGGCAGGAACTTCTGAGGAATATCGAATGTGCCGGATGCCATCAAGTGCCTCGGGATCCTATGATTACAAGTTGCTTCCACGTCTACTGTGCTAATTGCATCACTCGGCTTCAGCATGACGCTGCTCGTGCTGGGCATGGTCAGGCAATGTGCTTGATCTGCCAAACTCCGTACACAAGCGTGAAGGATTGCCTCAAGGCATTGGAGGAGGTTGAAGAAGAGGATGGAGAGAGCGATAGTGGTGCTGCGAAACCCCGCAAGAACAGCTCGCTGCCGTCATGGCTCACGTTACCTGGAGAGATGATTTCATCGGCCAAGACCCGAGGCGTGAAGATGCAGATCCTCAAGTGGCTCAGCGAGGATCCAGACGTGAAAATAATCGTGAGTGTTTCCCTTCGCTAACCTTCCCTAGGTGAGAGCACTAATTCGCACGAAACCTCTAGGTATATACTCAATTCATCCATCTTGTGCACATCATGGCACGAATCTGCAGAGAGGAAGGCTGGCGTTATGTGACCTACCACGGCGGCATAGACCATGATGCAAGAGAGAAAGCGATTGTCGAGTTCTCCGACCCAGAGCAATCTAAGAGCATCATGCTGGCATCGCTCAAATCCGGCGGACAAGGACTAAATCTCACAGTCGCGGCACGGGTCATAATCGTCGATCCCTGGTGGAACTCAGCAATCGAGCAGCAAGGCTTCTGCAGAGTCTACAGGATCGGTCAAAATCGTACGAGCCAGCTGTGTAGGCTGGTCGTTCGTAACACCATCGACGAGAAAATGGAGGAAATCAAGCGTCGCAAGGACCTCGAAATCAACTCCGTCATGGATAATCCGTCACTCTCAGAGTCTCTGGGCTTTAACGAGCTACTAGAGATCTTCGGACAGGTGGGACACGATAGTGGTGGGCGTCCGTTTATTATTGCCAACTCGGAAGTCCAAGGGAATTCTCGGAGGCCTCGTAGCGGAAGCACTATTGCGAATCAGCTGGACCGCGAAGGCCACTTTACGGATGAGCCATGAGCGAAAGAATGAAGAGCACGATTCACGTTTGCGATATGAATGAGTAATTCTGGACAATGGTGCTTGAGAAAGATTTGAGACACGGCAAGGCACGAGGTGGTCTGAGGACTGAACTGATTCTCGAGTAATGGTGCCGGAGACTTTATACGGATGATCTGAACCACAATACGAGGATTACATCGATTATCAGGCAAGGAAAGGTTGTCTGGCAAGGCTGAGGAATGGCAGGACACAGCTGGGGAGTGGCCGGACAAGGCAAAAGTTTATATTCATATTGAGTCTCTGATTAGATCCAAGCAGATTGACCAAGTACCTCCGTATTATCAGGAATGGAACACAAAAGCGTGCACACCATCGATCTTAAATCGTAAGCTGACCTGAGGATCGACAGTGACGATTCTTTCTTGATCGGGCGGTGAATGGTACTGCGGATCGAAGCTGAATACAGACCGAGGACGAAGTCAAACGGGTCATCGGTGGCATATTTTGGTCAAGTTGATCCATTAGTGGAAAAAGTATACATTGATTAGAGATGCAGCAATCCAACCCCAAATATGCAAAACGCCAGAAAATGACCCTCGCCCGAATACATAAAAAAAGCGTCCCTTAAGCCACACTACCCTTAAGCGGCGTCCGACCCATCGCTCTCGATGAAGGACTCGCGCGCCGACTCTCACTCCTCGAGTTGAGACCACTCCGATCGAAAGCAGCATTCGCCGAGCCCAGTCCAAGCGAGCCAACACCACCCCTCGGCGACGTGCGTGTAGTATCAGGACTCAGGCCACGATTCGCCGGCGTGTTCATGCCCGAGGTGCGTCCGCTACGGGCAGAAACACCAACCGCATTGCCACCGCTGTGAGGATCTATGCCGCTGTGGCTGGAGGATGAGAGACGGTCATCATCGGAGCTGACATCCGCGAGTTCGAAGTCTTCCGGAGTGGCTTCTTCGAGGACACGTTCGTAGCTGGGAGAATTGGCGCCGCCTGCGCCGCCGAATAATTTGCCGAAACCATTTCCCCCGGCCTGTTTGCGCTTGAGGCGGATGGAGCCGCTGCTGGGTTTGCGGCCAAGCATGGTGAGGAATTTGTTGTAGAGGGCGGAGCGGCGGTCGCGACCGCAGAGGAGGTATGCTGCAAGGAGAAGGATGAGGAGGAAGATGAGAATGCCGGGGACACGGCGGGCGTAATGTCCCTTGAGGTTGAGGGAGTAGTGATCATCATCGTCGTCGTCATCGTCGTCGTCGTGGTCCGGTCTGAAGAGCTGAGGAGCACCACCAGCGTATTGGAAATCCTTGGGTAGGCTATTGCTGTCCTTCAAATTGCTGCCGAATCCCACTGCAAGCGCGCCCTCAGCTGGTGGAATCTGCGAGGAAGCGTAAAGCACGATTTTGCCCAAAGTCCAGGACAACTCTTTCCCATCGATCTTATCTACTGCTTGGAAAGCATCGATGAAGCCCTTGTCCTTGGCGTTGTCGATGAGCGCCTCAGTCTTGTTGGTCGTGCCATTCATATGCTCCAAGCCAATTCTTGGGACGCCGATACCCATGTGAAGCATGTTGATCAGCCAGCTTGCTTTGAAGCAGACCTCCTCTACTTCCTTCACATCGACCTTGACACCCCATTTTCCAGCTGCGACACCAGCCTCGAGGCTCTTCCAGTCTTGGGAGCAGAATTCTTCGACCTGCTTCTGATATGTTTCGAAATCGTACGCTTTTTGCTTATGTGAATCCGAAAAGACTGAATGTGTCGTGTGCCAGAACTCGGAAACGCCGACGAAATGGTTAACATTGAAATCAATGTTGGGAGTGTGAACGCCATCCAGGAGACAAGGCAGGTCGGAACAGGCCTTCTCCTTCTCGAGCAGGGGATATGTCCGTTTCATGCATTCAGGGAAAATTCCGGTCCCAATGAGATGTGCCTCCTTGCCTTCTAAATCAGCCGAGCCCGGCGCGATCTCTTCTCCGGTCTTCTTCGTAGCGATACCGCGAGGGAGACACGGATCAGGGATCTCATGTTCGGTAGTATATGACTCCACCAACTTTTCCACGTATCTCCTGCGCGCCTCATTCGCGCCGAAACCCAGCCAAGTTGTCACAAACACCCGATAGTCCAACGTTTCGCCGTTGATTCTCCTCAAGTTAATTCTTTTCAAATCATTCCAGTGCTTCTCCGATTCGGTCGCATTTGGCGCAAAAGCGATCTGCGCTGACGCTCCTCCCATGTCGAGAAAGCCATATGTACTGTGTTTCTTCGTCGAATGGTGTGCGTCTGGAGCATTGAACCCTCCTAAGAGATAATTTGCCGCGACCCAGCCGTAAAGGCCTTCGGTCTCTCCCGGGATGACCTGCACGTGCATCGCGCAGTCTGGCAATTGGAATTTGGTGTTCTTCTGGAAATACGAGCAGATATTCTCAAGTACCGCATTGCGCTGATTGTCTGGCAACAGGCGCATACCCGCTGTAGCAAGGAGGAAGATGGGAGTCTGCGCGACATCCTTTTTGGGCACAACACTGAGCGCAAAGTCCACCAGCTCTTTCAGATGTTCAGGTCCGACCTTTTCGGGCTTGGTTCCGAATGTTGATACGCCTGGCTTTACCTTCTTGATCCAGTCCTTCTTGGTCTTGATCTTGGGCAATTCCAGGAGATGTTCGCCGTCGTCGTCAGCGCGGGCGGCCTCTGCGTTGAGCCATTGATAGACGTAGACTCGTGTTCCTGACGATCCAGCGTCGAACACGAGGCCGTATTGGTGTTTGCCCATGATTATGATTAATACGATCCCGGTGAGTTGATCCGATTATGTTCTCTCATGCGGCGGGTGTCATAGAGTGTTGTGGTGATAATTTTACAGTACTCGCCAGAACGACGAGGATGAAGGTGAGAGCGAGTGTGATGGGCCGGCGTAGCGAGTGACAATGGTGTTTGGGACGGAGAATCGATAGTGTAGATAAGGACAACTCGCGAAAAGTTGGCGTATCTTTCTCACGTCTCTTGCCATAGAAATTCAGCCCTGACGATCTAATTGCATGCAAAGTCCCTGGGATGTCCAAGAATGGAGAGGGGCGACGCGCAATCCATCTGTTCGCCCGCATAATTTACGCGAGGGTTGTTCCCGCCCGCGTCGTCTAGCGCGTTGCCGATCCCACCCATTCTCTTTTCCGCCGAGGCACTCCCGCAGGAGACAACTCAATCCGCCAGGGAACGTCTGGTTGTGATGGTCTGGCAAATGTATAGAACATCCTTACTCACGTGTACTTTACCATCTCAGCAGGGAATCCTCGCCAATTAGCGACATCCAGGCTATCTGCATGAATTTCATGGTAAACATGACGAAGCGGGTTCTATGGGTGGTGACGAAACACGACAGCGGCATGGTAAAAGACGTAAAATCGTGATTGGATATCCCCTTGAACTAAAATTTGATTGGAAAACTAACGCCGAGACCCATCATCATCCTTCGATTCCTTCAGGCTGACTGCTGACGGAGGCGAATGTCCATGGTGGAGCTATCAAGAGGCACACATGCACCGTTGAACGAGAATGACGGTGGGCGACCGCCATCAATCTTGATGTCGAAGTTCATGACAATGTATGCGATCATCAACTTCATCTCCTGGGAGGCGAAGAAACGTCCCGGGCACGCGTGACGGACGGCGCCAAAGGTGAAGAAGTCGTCAGAAGTCACGATCAGACCACGGTTCTTGTGCTCGAGAACCTTCTCCAAGCGACCAGCGTCTCCGGAGACTTTGCCAGCCGGGCTAGACAGGAATTCCTCGTGGGGTCGCGAGAAGCGGAAGCCGTCCCATTTCTTGGGGTTTTCGTATTTGCTCTCGTCGGTCTGGATGGAGTAGGTGGGCATGATGACACGGACGCCCTGAGGCAAGTGGATACCACCGCTCAAGGTGATGCCGTTAGGGTCAGAGACGATACGGGGCATGCCGAGCTCGCCAAGCGAGGTGACGCGCATGGTCTCGCGGATGACCGAGTCGACACGGAGGAGGCTGTTGACGGCGTCCTTGGACCATTCGCCCTTGCTGATGGTCAGGACGCGTTCGGCTTCCTCACGCAGGCCAGCGACCAGTTCGTCGCGGTCAGGTGAGCTGTAGAGATCGAGAAGAGTCTGGGTGGTGACCATGCTGGTGGTGTGGATGGCAACCATGTTTAAGAGGAGGAGACAGCTGCAGATCCAGTCGACAGTGAGACGGTAAGGCTGAGCGTCAGCGACTTCGAAAGCGTCATCGAGAATCCACTGCAGGACGTCGACGGCAGGCTCGTAGGCCTTCCCTTGTGTGCGCATACGGTGGAGGCGGTCTTCGATGATGGGTGTGGCGATCTCCTTGCAAATGTTGAAGTGTCTACGGCATTCGCGAACGACGAAAGGGGCGACGATAGGGTGCAAGAAATCCGGAATCAGCTTTAAGATTGCGCCAGACTTGAAAGTCTCGGTCGAATACAATCGTGACGATTCGAGGAAGCGAGGATCGCGGCCTAGTAGATCATTAGCCCATGACGCCCGTGGCTGCTTCCTACATTGTGTCGGGGGCTGCGGGAAAACTCACAGAGGTCTTTGCCCGAGAAAACACGGTTGGCAGCCTGGCTGACAATTCGCATAGCCGTAGGGTAGACGTTGACGGACTTCCACTCGGTACCGGGCGCCCATTGCTCCTTCATGGCCATGACCAACTCGGCGTAAACATCAGCGGTAAGCAAAGGCAGCTTTCGGGTCAGCTGGCGGCGGACAACATCAAAGTGAGAGGCATCTTCAAAGTTGTCGCCAATGCAGTACTTGTGGGCGATGCTCTCCCGGCCGACAGTTTGGTGGTCGACTTGGTCATCGCTTTTGTTGAGGAATTCCATGACCTTGTCGGCCGGAATCACGACGAATGGGGGACGGCTGAACTGAGGCAGGACGAAGACTTTCTGGTTCTTGGAGTACTGTGGGAAAGAAATTCAGCATTGATCATTTGTGACATCTTTTGTAGAATGACAGAAAAGGCCATGAGATCCAATTGGGATCTCGCTTGACAAGACATAGTCTGCCCTCTCTATCATTCTACTGCAGTTCAAATTGCTGACCTTTTGGTATCCTTCCTGGACCATGGACGAAGTGTTCTTGATGGTGGCCATGCCCGCGCGGAATCGCGCAAACAGGCCATTGCCCTTGACTCCGACCCAGGGTTGCTGGCGGAGATATTTCTCCTGAGCCGAGAACATCGGCAAGATGAAGAAAGAGACGAAGGCATAGGTGACAGCCAGGCCACCAAGGGCCACATAGACGGAAGCGCTCACCATGGCGACGATGATGTTGGGAGAGGATCGAGAATTGAAAATCGCTGAAACATGGAAGAGGATTATGGCAGCGGCGGCATCGTGAGATATAATTATATTCTACTCCGGTTGCCCGCTACAGCACCGTACCTCGTTGGCGCAGGCTGCACACGTCGGCCGTGCGTTTCGCTTGAGTTTCGATCTTCAGCTCCGGACCAGGCCAAGCCGGTGTAGCAGGCACTGCGCTTCGTTAAGCGGCAAAATTACGTCGGACGTCGTTCCTCGTTTGTGAGGAGCCAATCAGAATTCTGCCTTTGCACTTGCTTTGTGGGGAAATGCGCTGATCGGGCTTCGAACTGTCCGGTGCATAACTTCAATGCGTCCTGGCTCTCACTTCATCATTATGCAACATTTATAGTTCAGCCTTCTTGAAGGGTTGATTGATCTCATCTCGGTTGGATACAGAAAGCATGCTATGATGAAGGACCGGAGAACGACGGATGTCTTCGGCGATAATGTTGTTGGCTCCTGGGCACGAATGAATACATTTATAGAGAGCACAGTTCCATGATGTACGCCACCCCACACAAACAAGTATTCGGCATTTTGTCATGTTGCAGTTTGAAGTATTGTACAGTCCGTCCGACAATATGATGGGCATGGCCCAAGAGCGATGCCCTGTTTTGAATAGAAAGCAGTGATGTGAAGTGGAGGATTTGCGCAACAAGATCACGATGCTTCGTGGCATTTTCCAGCGTCATGCAGATCCCCACCACTTGATGTGTGTAATATTCACCTCGGGGCAGCCAATATCGTGGATGTGATCGCTGCCCAGGTGGTTTCGTATTTCGCATTGGAACGTCACATCACCATCAGCGTTGCCCCGCCCGGAAGACGACCCCGCCTGTTGCTGTTGTGCATACACATGTCCGCGGATACTCCAGCACCCCACTCCCTGTCTATCAGGTACAGGAGAACACTCCGATCGCCGTTACGTACTGCTGCACCTACAGCAGGTACCGATCATCAGTATCCCGCACCTGGCCAACGTCTGCACTGTTCGCTTGTCCTGGTCGTTTCGACTCTCTACTATTGGCGTGGAGACATCGACTACACATAAAGTAGCCACTGCAGTGATTTATGAACATCACCGAACAGTCTCATGTATGGTATTAGAAACGACAAACGACGACTGGTCTCTCTCTGGCTTCTCGGACGCAAGATCCTGTGTATGTATGTTTACAAGGCTCATGAGCGCCGAGCCATCCTACTGCAAGGAAACTCTCAGTGGCATGTCCGCTTCACTCAGCTCAAGGTGTTCTCAAGGCTTGCGCGGCTGCATCGAAACCATACAAGCTCACACATTACGTCTGTTCACGCACAGCAGTCACGACGGGAGTTCGATTCTCTCCGGGGGTATCTTACCACAACGTTGGCATGATGCTGCGCCTCCAAACTCACACGCATCCCAGCCTATATATTGCTGACGTGCGGCGCAGGCCTTCGCCCGCGTGGCACAGTGGCTACTGCTTCGTTTCTGCTAAAAACGAATGATCCCTTGTTCGAATCAAGGCGTGGGTATTTGGATCTTCCATCGTGATCGACTCTTACCATGTTTTTGTTTTTCAATGTTCGTTGCGATAAGGGGGCTGTCATCATTACGAAAGTCGCTCGTGAGGCATAAGCACATATATAACCCTAACGCGTCTGATTCATCACCCTTATCTATTTTCTGCAGTCTCTCTGCCCAATTCAATTCCAAGGTCTTTGCACTTGAGTTGACAATTCCTTACAAGCCATGACAAGCCACCTCTTCAAGGGCAGTTCAAGCATCGATCTTATGACATGTCAAGTCGACGATGCGGAGATGTTGTGGTTTCTACACTCTGCCCTCTGATGGGCCGAGCACTCACACGCACGCAGCCTGACGATGTGTGTAGCCGACGGGATGGATCTGAGCTGTGTAGTTCCGATGATGTGTTCGGAGAGCGTAGATGAAGGTGCGCCTGAGAGGAGGCCTTCGCAATATGTAGCAACGCCTGATAAGCACATATCATCTCACGGACTGTGGCGAAAGCACCTAGTCAGGTAGGCAATTGAGGTCCGCGCGTGAATATGCGTCGACCGCATTCCAAGCAGGTATTCGCGTCGTTCGCGCCTGATCGTCACATGCCCAGGTGTGTTTAATTCACCATTACCTTGCTCCGTCACGAGCAATTCAAATGAAAGCTCGAATACATGTGTTTCACGTCTTGCTGTTTCCAGACTTGACCTTCACCTCTCTCCACTTAGCCTGGATCACTATTCGATGAAAAGCACATCAACTCCAAACACCTCCAATGACACACGATGATGTCGATACTGCACGAACAAGCCATCTCCGACGCCGAAGATGACGCTTTTGACACTCCACACGAGGCAACCAGTAACCGCGACGATAAAAGACGCGCCCAAAACGCCATTTTCGACCAGTGGCTGACCAGTCGCTCTGCCCAAAACGCCTTGAGCTCGGCAGGCAAGACTGGGTCATCAAATCCCGGCGATGACCACCAGTCGATTGCACAGTTGCTCGCCAAACAACAATCTGCCCCGATCGTGAAGAACCCCCGCGAGTATCAACTTGAGCTCTTCGAGCGTGCAAAGACGACCAACTCTATCGCATGTCTTGATACTGGAAGCGGCAAGACTCTGATTGCAGTGTTACTGTTACAACATATCATCGATCAAGAGCTCGAAAACCGAGCAGCTGGTAGACCGCAGAAAGTTGCCTTCTTTCTGTGTTGTTCTGTCGCTCTAGCATTTCAACAATTCTCGGTCCTTGAAGCGAATCTTGATCACAAAATCATCCGGCTATGTGGAGATGACCGGACAGATACCTTGACGAGATCTGATTGGGAGCAGATGTTTGCTGAGCACAAAGTCGTCGTGTGCACGCCTGCAATATTGGAACAATGCCTGTCGCGTGGCCACATCACCATGAAGGGGATCAATCTGCTTGTCATCGATGAAGCTCATCATGCGAAGAAGAACCATCCATACGCGACGTAAGACGGAAAGCAAACGTGGTAGCTCATCGCCGCTATATGAACGCTGCTGACCAAATGGACAGGATAATCCGCAACTACTATCGAACGGAGAAAGATTCGTTGCAAAGACCCCTTGTATTTGGCATGACGGCCAGTCCAGTGGACTCCAACACGGACTTTGCACAAGCTGTCTTTGAACTCGAAAAGCTGCTCGATTCTAAGATCATGACCACGGCTGATATGAGCCTCGTTGACGCGGTCAACAGACCATCGGAACAGCTCATCAGGTACGCGCCTGCACTGGTCGCAGACTACCAGTCGCCCTTTCTGCTATCCTTGAAGCAGATCTGCAACGACCAAGACGCCTTTCAAGGCATACTAAGACGCGCGTCAGAGATCTCACGGCACCTCGGTCACTGGTGCGCTGATCGTTACCTATGCGACGTCATACATCCCGATAACGAAGATGAGCTCGTCAGGACTGCAAAGAAACGCTTTCACGGCATGACATCTGCTTTGGAGTCCAGTTCCGCCGAGGCGGACGTTACAAAGATGGTTCAAGACATTATCGAGTACGTGCAGAGTCAGAAGACAGATATTTCACACAAGAACACTGAGGCATTACGAAAGTCATACGCCGAGGAAAACCTCAGCCAGCTGATGATCGGAACAACAACAACGACAAATATCATGAGTCGCAAAGTTGCACGACTGCTGCAATACGTGACCCCTGAGTTCGCGCGTGACAACGAACAACGCTGTATAATCTTTGTTGATTGGAAGCAAACTGCACGGCTTCTATGTCAACTAGTTACCGAGATCGGGATCAATAACTTGAGGCCTGGATTCGTGACTGGCAGCGGGAAGGATGATAAACTTGATCGCTCAACCTTCAGCCTTCGATCACAGGTCTTGAGTTTAACTCATCTCCGTAGCGGCGAAGTGAACTGTATGTTCGCTACAAGTGTTGCCGAGGAGGGTCTGGACATTCCGTCTTGCAATTTGGTCATCAGATTCTCAATTTACAAAACCATGATAGCGTATGTCCAGTCAAAAGGTAGAGCAAGGAAACGAAACTCGAAATACGTACATATGCTCGAAGAGGGCAATCACTGTGAGAAATTTCTTGCTCAAGAGGTGATCCGGGGAGGGCATACGATGCGGCAACATTGCGCAAACCTACCACCAGACCGTCAATTAAATGGCAATATCGATCCCGAACGCCTACTTGACGACGCTATTGATTTGGATATACATATCGAGGAGAGCACGGGCGCCAGGCTCACGATAGGAAATGCAATGGCGGTACTTGAACATTTTGTTTCTGCCGTTCCGTGTTCCAGCGACAGCCGATTGTCACAGTGCCCTACGTACGCCGTGTTCGCTCGCGGCGGTAGATTCCAAGCCGAAGTCATTCTACCTGGTAATTCTCCGATATGTTCTGCGACAGGCAAACCTCAGACCAAGAAGCAGCTTGCAAGGCGGTCCGCTGCATTCGAGGCCTGTATGCAGCTTCGCAAGAAAGCTTATCTAAACGAATTTTTCATGCCGATCTATCAAAAGAAGCTTCCGGCTATGAGAAATGCAAAGCTCGCCACGGGATTGTCTAAAGGCAAGTCATATCCGATACGATCGAAGCCATCTCTGTGGGCCGAGACAAGAGGTACCGTTCCAGACAAACTTTGGGCGACTCTTATCGACTTGGTGGACGGCGAGCTTGAGAGACCACATCGCAGATTACTCTTCTTGACGAGGACGCAACAGGTAAACTTTCCTCAATTTCCGATATTTCTCAGCAATGGCCAATCCGTCATGGTGAAGTCAACGAACCTTGGTGATAGAAAGCCTCTTGATGTCTCGGAACACATGACGACAAAGCTCACCCAGTTCACATTGGTAATATTCAACGACGTGTTCAGCAAAGAATACCTTGAAGAGCCGGAGAAAATGTCTTACTGGTTGTGTCCTGTGAACGAAAGTGTTACGACCGAGGGTGCCACGCACATTCTTCCCGGAAACATCATCGACCACGAAACGCTGGACGAGGTCGTCTGCAATCGCAAAGGATACCAGTGGACCGCCATCATGCCGACCACATTCCTACTCGACAAATTTGTCGTGGACCCGTGGGATGGACGACGGAAATTTTTCACGACGCGAGAGGTTTGCCACGACCTCACTCTGGATCATCCCATCCCGGAAGACGGCGTGTCGAAGAAGGATGCCAAAAGCATTCTCGAATTCAGCCTCAGCCCATTCAAGAAATCTAGTGGACGAGCGCAGTTGGCCACCACCCAGCCTGTCATTGTGGCTGGACTGTCGCCATACACTTTGCGGCGAAATCTACTAGCCAAGCCAGAAGCGAAGGAAATGACCAACAAAAAAGTGACAAAAGCATACATTTGCCCAGAACCACTTCGAATCTCTGCGATACCTTCAGATCTGGCCGCAACGTGCTTCTTGTGGCCCGCTATCATCCACAGGTTCGAGTCCTGCCTAATCAGTCTGGAGGGCATTTCAGTCGTCGGTGTCGATTGTAGCCCCGAATTGGCATTGATGGCTTTCACGAAAGACTCCGACAGCAGCGGTGATCATGACGCTGATGAGCCTGTCACTGTGAACATCCGCTCTGGGATGGGAGAGAATTACGAGCGTCTCGAGTGGTTGGGCGACACCTTCCTGAAAGTCGCGACCTCCATGTCCGTATACATCATGAACCCGGACGAAAATGAGTTTGAATTCCACGTCAGACGCATGCTGATGCTCTGCAACAAAAATCTGTTCAACCGCGCTTCTGATGATCATCTCAAGTTGTACGAGTATGTCAGAAGCAAGGCGTTTTCACGACGCATCTGGTATCCGGAAGGTCTGTCTCTGGTCAGAGGGACAGGTGTCAAGGCCGGAGATGCGCCGAAGTCAATGTTTCATGGCCCTGAGAAGCATGATCTAAGTCAGAAATCGATTGCAGACGTGTCTGAGGCTCTGATTGGTGCAGCCTTCCTACACGCCCGACGTCCAGGTAGGTGGACCTCGCAGCAATTCGACAATGCTGTTCAGACGGTCACCAAGCTCGTCGGTAGCAAAGACCATACCATGGTACGCTGGGAGGACTATATGGCCACATATTCGAAAGCGATTCCGAGCTATCAAACTGGTCATGTCACAGCAGTGCAAAAGGATCTCGCGACTAAGCTCGAAAAGGAGCACCCCTATTGTTTCCGATATCCTCGACTTGCACAAGTCGCCTTCGTCCATCCCAGCTTACCGTTCACTCATATCCAGCTTCCAAACTATCAGCGTCTTGAATTCCTTGGTGATGCGCTATTCGACCTAGCAGCTGTTACATTCCTGTTCGACCGGTTTCCCGACAAAGATCCGCACTTCCTCACCGAGAGTAAAATGTGTATAGTCAACAATCGCTTCCTTGGCGCCCTTTGCGTCAAACTTGGGTTTCATCGGCACATTCGCCACCATCACCCCGAGCTCCAAGGCCAGATCTCCGATTACGCCGTGCTGCTTGCAGAAGCCCACTCCGAAGCCCAGCGCCTCGCACAGGAGCAAGATCAGCCTCATCGTCTGCAAGACTATTGGACAACAGTCCAGGATCCTCCCAAATGCCTCCCAGATGTCCTAGAGAGCTTCTGCGGAGCCATGTTCATTGATTCCGGCTTCGACTACAACGTGATCCAAGACTTCTTTGATCGGCACGTCAAATTCTTCTTCGAGGACATGTCACTCTACGACGGCTTCGCCAACAACCATCCCGTCACCCGTATGACGGACATTCTCCAGAACCAACTCGGCTGCTCCGATTTTCGAATATTGCTCCGTGACTACGCTGGCGGCGAGGAGGGGAGGGAGAAGACGCTTGCCGCCGCGTTGATGGTGCATGATAGGATTGTGGAAGGAACGGCGACGACGGGGACGAGTGATCGATATGCGCGGGTCCGAGTTGCGAAGCAGGCCGGGAAGATTTTCGAGGGAATGTCACCGGTTGATTTCAAAGCGAGGTGGGCTTGTACATGTAGCAGTAGAGGAACTCAGGCGGAGTAATCTCTCTTTCCGAGAAGAAGTGGATTGGATGTAATTTTGAAACAGCACTGCCTCCCGTCTCAACTTTTTACCTTCTGGACCGGAATTTGGTCAAATCGGACTGGGCCCTCCGGCAGCTTGGAAAACAACGCGCCAATGCTAAATCTCCACCTTCAAGTCATACGCCTCTCCTACGTCTAGCTTTTCAGGTGGACGTAGGCTCGGAAGGAGACATGTCATATCAATCATCGGAAGTCATCTGGTACGAGTTCTCGGAAGTTCTTTCACACATCTTGCGTCATATGAGGACGTTTAAGTGATCATATAGTAAGTACAGAAAGAAAAACGTCATGAAGAAAGGAGCTTCCAGACTTTGTCGTCCCGCCCATCAGACTATATTTATACATCCGTACACCTTCCACGAGCGATCCCACCTCCGAGCTTCTTCACGAAGCAGTGGGAGAAAGTAGCGTGGGAGAAAAGGGGGGAACGCACTGGGAGCGAAACCGAGAAAGAAAAGATTCTCCATTGTGGTACGTTTCCAAATGACGACCGTCCAAATAATGCAGTGAGGGAAACAAAGAAGATGAGAAAAACCAAAAACCACAACCAAGCCATCCTCTCCGCACACATCCTCACCCCACGCCGGTATTGCGCAACTACCCATCGCGACGCTGCCACACGAGAGACATAGATGCCGTCATCATGCGTAAAAGAACAATCGTCTGCCTCCCAAGCTTTTATGTATTTGTGTGTACAAGTCTCGAAGTATGCTGAGACATGCTTTGATTTCCGTGGTTTGCGAGAGAAAAGAAAGAATTCCAATCCAAATCAATTAGCGTACACAGCGACCAACCAGCCGGAAGCCGCGTTGGGAAGATTCGTGCCATTATTCTGCTGATCGTCGCTATTTGACGATGAATAGTACAGACCTGGCTCTACGCCGTCGGTGAAAGCCGCGAGGTCGTCGGCGCCCAGCGCTTGTGGCAGAGACGCGAGCCATGCTTCGGTGGATACATGGCGATTTTCGGCATTGCTCGACGCTGAAGCTTGATTGTTGGCGCGAGACGGAGCGGTGTTTGAGGAGGTCGAGCCGGGTTGTTGGGCTGCGCCACGGGGGTATCCGTTGCTGCCAGAGTTGGTGTTTGCAGATGCATATCGCTCGTCCCGTTGGTGGCTCCCACTGTTAACGCTTGTGTGCGATGTCGGGGGCGTTAGTTGGTTTGGAGGCGGCATAGCACTGTAGGAGGAGGACGTTTGTGGGTTCCATGCATCGGCGCCCAGATACGATCCGCCACGAGGACGTTGCTGCTCATATGACGATCCGCCCGTGATGGGCACGCCATTGGCAGGCGAGAGAATGCTTGCTGGAGCTCCAGCAGAATTGGGTGTGCTGCTGGAATATGCTGGGCGGAACCCTCCGTGAGTCGGCAGCGGCGGCTGCTGTGGCTGGCCGGTTGTGGGTCCAGACGTCTGCGGTCCAGGAGAATGAGTCGGGTAAGATTCGTAGGCTCGGAAACCGCCATTGCTCACAGGAGCAGAGATGCTCGCATTTCTTGAAGGTGGGTTGCTGCTGGTAGTGTTGATAGCGCTCCAAGAGCCACCCCCAGCGCTGACAGGAGCCTCCGCTTTAGTCGCCGAGTCGGTTCCATTCGGGCTGGGACCGTTGCGGGTGTCCATATCCTCACTTCTGCCGTCAGCTGTGTCGTGACTGCTCGAGTCATCGTACGTCTTTCGGTAAGGATCAGCATCGGCCATTTCAACGTCGTCGAGATCTGATCTGCTGAAGTCGGCGAGAGTTCGTTCGAAAAGTCTGTATTCGTCGCCACTAGAGGTGCCATTGACATCAGAGCCATCGCCGTCTGCCACACCACCACCAGCTGCACGATCTGAGATCGGGCTACTTGCTCCGCCCTGTGATGCACGACGACCGCCTGCGTGGGCGTCTTTGGCACTTTTGAAGAATTTGCCGACACGACGAATGGTTCGATACCATCCAACAGCCATTGGAAGACGTGGTTGTAGGCTAGCTAGGAGCTCTGCAGCACCGGTCGCTGCGCTGAAGCCTGGGCTGCGACCTTGTGAAGGATTTGATGTGCGCTGTGCAAGAGGGGTGCACATGTGGCCCCTAGGGTCCATCTCCGGGAACGTGATGCAGTATACGCCAATGAAAGCAACGCTGTACAGAGCGAAAGCAATGATTGGCGTTTCCGCAAGCCGACAGTACCCATTGCAAGTAGTGATGAGGTCGATGATATCGCGAGCTGCGCCGAAGCAGGTATCGGCGTTGTCCTCCCAAAATCCCTCCGGCACTTTGTCATTTTCGCCTGTGAAGGAAGGCTCGTCCAAAGGTCCGCTAGGTTTGGTTTGGCTCATAGGCAGTAGAGGCAAGTACTCACGATGGAGGTAGACCTGGCACAAAAGGTGGACCACATGGATGAGCATATACGCAGCTGCTCCGCGGCCTTCAATGTGTGCTTGCAGGTTGTTGCGGCTCAAAGTCAACGTGTCGGGGAGCGTTTCCTTGAACTCTTGACAATCTCGCCGGAGCTGAGCAAATTTAGATCGCTCGTCCCATGGAGGATGTTGTTCTGTCCTGCAAAAATGTTAGCCGCCAACTCACAGGTCCAATGCGCTGCGACAGATAAAACGTACCGACGACCGCCGGCGCATGCCCAGTGCAACACCTTGCCGTACAAATCTAGAACTTTCACGTGGCGACTGATGATACCTTCATTCTCGCCAGCTTCCAATCGAACCTTATTCTCTCGGGCATCAAGACGTGTCCAGCCTCGTGGCGGCGAATCCTTTTTCTCCACCTTGATTCGCTTCGCAGATTCGAGTTGTCTTTGTTGAGCCTGCTCCTCATCTTCTCCCAGCATCAACGTGCGCACGCGATCAACGAAGACAAACTTGCGCTCGCTTGCGGGCAGCTGAACGCGGAACAATCTCGGATCGAGATTATGCGGGCGATACTTCCCACTGCTAGTATATCGATCCAAGATGAAGCAACTCCAAAAGGTGCGACGCCTAATCTCCTGCTGCAAGAAAAGATCTGCATCCTCAGATGCCAGCATTCCGCGACCTGAGAAATCGCCGGACTTCAGACCAACGTCAGCCTCGGGCGCATCGACATCGTTGTCGATGGGAAGAGACCGGTTCGTCGTAGGATCGTCTAGATCTGCGTCAAACTGCAGGCCCAATCCTTGTGCAGTCCGCACAGCTTGTCCGACCAAACGCCACGCATGCCACCCTCGCGACGCACCCCATTCGTGCAATCCCAGCATAAGATATGCTTGCACAAGCTCGATGGTCTCTTTGCTCTGACCAAGTGTGTATGGTATGAACCGTTCATTCGCAGCCTCCGCGTAATATTCTGAAGCGAGCATCGGGTTGCTGGGACGACCCTGAACGTGTGGTGAATGGTGGGCGACCAACTTCGGATGGAAGCGTGCAGTCAGTGCAAGGAAGGCGAGCAGGAATTCGCTAGACATTGGCGGCTTTACGACGACTGGTAAGGCACCATTTGCGTTGTACACTGGAGGCTGCGATTTGGCAGCATTGAGTGGCTTTTTGAAGGTCGTCGAGTGGATGAACGGCAGATCGGCCGAGTAGTGGAATTCATAGATCTCCAAAAGTTCCAGCCAGACGTTAGCGGTCAGGATCTTCGGATCGAGCGCGTCAAGGAGAGGTCGAGGACTTTCACGGGGTCCGGCGGAGAAGCCAGCGACATATGCCTGTGTGCCCTTTCGCGGTCGTTGCCGACGCTCAGGATCCATCCCGGCTGCCAAAACCGATGCGAGCTCTCCGCGCCCCAACATGCTATCCCGATTGCGAGCGCTGTTCCCGTGTCCTCCCGCCAAAGCTGCTGGGTATTCACATTCTCGCCCCGCCGATTCACAAGCCCGACATTGCGTGCCGACCCCATTGTTCACACATTTCACTTTGGACCGCCGGCAGCGGGAGCAAGCAATGCTGGAACGCATCCGGCCGGGACCAGCCTGCCTAGGCGAGGGCCCGGCAGGGACGTAAGACTGACCAGCGGCGTTCGGCGCCGCGGAGCGGGGACCGTCGAATTCTTGAAGAGAGCTGAGCAGGGAGTCCACAAGTCGGTTGTTATCGGAATCCACGGTGGGCAACGACAAGTGAATGAAATTCGAAGAAGTCGGCGCGATGAAAGGTGATGTGCCTTTTTGCTCGGGCGGATCGATGGCGACAGCTCCGCGAGTGGGAATTCCAGCCGGACTTAAGATTGATGGAGCAGGTATGAAAGAGTGATTGAATGTGACGACGGGTTCGACGTAGAGGGTCATACGCAAGATCGTGTCTTGGGAGGATGGATCGTGAGCGGAGGAGGAGCCTGACGGAGAATCGAGAGGAGACCGGAGGAAAAGGCGTGGCGATGGGAAATGGGCGGAGATCGGAAGTGGAGGTGGGCGACGCGGAAGGCTCGACGAAAAGAAGCAGACGGGCAGACGGGGGCGCGGGCAGGCGCGGCGGGTCGGCAAATGGCACGAGAAAGAGCGAACGGCGCCGAGCGAAGCGGACGGACCGAACAGTGCGCCAACTATTGCTGTCCCTGGCCCAAAAGGTACGTAGCGGGCCCGGCTTGGGGGCTTTCAGCGGGTTCCGCGGGCTGGCTGTAACACACTGGCGTGCCCGGTGTACACCTACGGCTTTCGGGGGAGGGGAACAACAATCGATGATCTTGATAAATTTCGATGGACGGCGATGATCGATAATTCGAACTGTCATCCACTGTTCATCCCGCGCGCGCGCGTGTGTGTGTGTAGTGTGACGGGTGTATTCACGAATTGTGCAGACACTCTTCTCGGGGGCACCGTATCCTCTGACCGGTGTTATCGCGTTGTCCGTGGGAAGATGAACATATCGATGCAGCGTGTATGTATGGATGGAAAGTGGGTGCGCGATCGGGATCTGTGGAATACAACATGGATGTATATCGTTTTATAGACCCCATACCGCCACCCCCTTTGCCTGCCCGTCTGCTTTGCAATCTACACCTTTCATCTCCCAACAACCAAAACGACGATGAAGAATCCGATACTTATCGAGTGCTTCAACCCGTCATCTATCGTCAACATACATAATCCCGGGTGAGCATGGCGGGTCGTGCAGATACTTTACATGGAACGTCTTTGCACTATCACACAAGTCCCGAAACGGGTCGTCCAGGATCCTAGCTTCACGGGCCACTCTTAACTCGATCGCACCCATGGCTTTCCCACTTCGCCGGTACATGCATGCGAGGTCTCCGAGGATTGGTGCCCTCGTAAGCGCCTACAAGATCGGAACGTTTTGCACTCGAGATGAGCACGAGAATCGTGTTTGGTTGCGCAAAACAAGTTCCGGGCTGCGGTGCATGCTACTGCACTGAGACACGTCCCCGAACGGCCACAGCAGGGCCCACAGCATCGTACGGGCCATGCGGAAAAGTCAAAGGTACCGATGGCCTGCGAGAGCGCGTGTTATGCGTGGCTGCAATCTGCAAGACCTGTCGCAGATTTCCCGAAACAGACCCAAGGTTTCCGCATGTTATCAGAGCTGCCTCGCGGGTACGTACTTGGGACTTTCCGGAGATTTGAAATCGAATTTCTTTCGGGAGAAATGAAGGTACGAATCGTCTTCGTTCCGAGGTCTGCATATCTGCGCATTGTGGCGAGCTAGCGATCGGAGACTAAAGAAAGAAGAACAATTGCTTGCGCCTCATGAGCACTACGCTCATCATCACCAATGCCGTGTCCATAGTACGTCAGCCAAAGTTCCCGTCGGGTCCATCGTCCTCTTGTCCGCGGGTCAGCGTCTACCAGTGTCATCGATGAGCCAGCGGCTCGCGTATCGTCGCAAACACCACCGGGAATGGATTTGCAGACTAGAGCATCGGCTTGGGCCGGGCGCCGCCCACATCCTAACGAAGCCCATGGGAAGGCAGGCAGGTGGCATTCATCAGGAGAGCCACAGAAAGTGGTCAGGAGGGTTGTCGTCAGAGCGGGGATTTAGCGTGTTCCGGAACTGTCATCCCGTGCGAGCCGGGGTGGGCTTGCCGGAACGGCTTTCCAAGGGTTCAGAATGTTTTCTCTGCCCAGGTGCCTAGGTATTTGCTGCTGTGCTGTGCTGCACGCGAAACCTCGAGTGCATTCGCCATTCTCGGCAATTGTAAGTGATTGATCAGGTTAGGTCTGTTTACATCCTGGGCTCGGAGGTTAACTATGCCCTGTATATCGTTGTGAGGACAGCGCACGAGACATGAGTCTGTCAGTAAACAGCAAATTCGCTGGGGTGCTGCGCAAGATCCCGTGGGTACCTCGTGTTGACTACGTCAATGGTGAACTTCACATCAATCACAAAGATGGAAACTGACTACCCTCATTACACCTGATATACTTCAACAGCTCTATCGTGTGTGCCTACTCGATGTCTCTCACGATCAATTGCCTCATGTTTACCCAGAATAAATCTGGCCGTGAATATATTGGGAGCGTCGTCTCGTTTATGAAGCCAGCTCGTGGGAATTCCTCGCATGTGCGGAGGCTAGAATTGAAGCCCAGAAAAGAATAGCCGAGGGCAAAAGAAACGCAACGACGACCGAATGCGCGGGTCTGCAGGGTCGAAGCTGTGTTCATGCCTCGTTTATCGCCGGATGCAAGCCCACCATTCCGGTCGACGTACTGACGAGGAGCAGGACGGCAGGACCCCACGAAATCGAGGAAGAGAGTAAGCTCGACGCGTGCTTGTTACCATTGGATAGCTACCTAGGTACAGGAATGTCATGGCGTCTGCGGAGGATATGACCACGTTCCATATGATGCAATTGTGGATGCTGTTCCAAAGCAAGCCCGACCAGATTTTGGGAAATAAGGCGTGAAAAGGCTACAGCACCGCCACTTTCCCACTTGCTGACTCGCTTGGCATGATGTGGTTGCAGCGTCGATCCTGTTCGGTACGCAGTGCCGTTTTACCATGCCTCGTTCATCACGATCAGCATGGTTGCTGCAGATTTGATCAAGACATTGAGCGGTACCTCTTCATGTGCGGCAGGAAAGCAGGGCCGTTGAACCACAAGCGTCGGCTTTTGTAGACTTCGCAGAAGCTGGCACGCTACGTCAACCTGGCATCCCTTACTTCGGACTCAACCTCGTGCCGTCTCCTGAGGGCATTGTATGCAGCTCTCAAGGAGCCCGGGGCGTTCGACGAGTTTTGTTGAGGAAATTGGTGCCTGAGAAGTGCTAATGCCAGACTGGCCATTCCGGACCAATTTGAGAAATGGCGTAATCTGTAGTAGTCACCACCTGGAAACGATTGGACAGCTCAACCTGGTACTGTGTGGAGGATGTGATGAACCCGCTGTTGAATCGGAACCTGGTCCGATAGTCATTTTGGAAACTTGGCCGAGTCTTTGACAGGGGCTAGGTCGGTACCAAACGACCTGCCAATCACTTTCGCAAAACAACGCTATCGCCTGCAAATGCACTCATCTTACTGCTCGCGGAGACTTGTTCCGACCCTGGCGATTGAACATTGGCCTGATCCAGATCCGATCGCGTCTGTAGCTTCTCAACGGCGTCGACGACGAATCCTTCACAATCTTTGGAACATCAAGTGATCGTCACGACGATCCTGATGACTCGATGAAATCACAATCAAGATGAGATTGGCGTTCCCGTGCCACTCATCGTAATATCAGCGCCATCCATTGGTCGTTTCTTCTTCTTGGCCTTTTTCTTTGGGACAACCGCGGGTTTGTTTCCGTAATTGGTCAGGCGGAGCTGGCTCCCGCATGTGAGACATTGTCCATCCGCAAGTACGCCGCAAAAGATGCTCAAACAAATTGAGCAAACGTAACCGATGTCCACAATCCTGCGATGGCAAAAGCATGCTGCGCGAAAATCCACACCGGCGCTATCTCCCGGCATGACTAGGTGTTGACGCGCGGTTTGGTCCGGCAGATACGCGAACATGAGATATTGTAGTAACCCAGCGCGAGTGGTCGCATCGAGGGCCATGTAGACGCCTCCCGTGGCATCAGCGGCCTGCTGCAAGAAGACTGTGTCGCCCGCTAACTTGAGGATGTCAATAGGGATGTTGAGTCGCTGGCATGCGAAGATCGCGTTCATGATTGGAATGTATTGATTCGCTAAATCGCCAGAAACAGAAAGGATCAAGATACGCGACACAGGACTCATACTGCCCGCGTGTGGTCGCGATGGATCTGCACCGGCGACGTCGTTGCCTCCCGCGACAGCATTTGGGTCGGAGTAATTGAACTGCGCACTCGAATTTCCGGTTGGAAGCGTAGCACTTTGCTTGGAAATGTAATTCAGCGCCATGGTCAGGGCGCCAGCCATCATGGTCGTCGGGGAGGAGGACAAAGCATGAGCAGTTGTGGTATTCAGGAGGTCTCGCAGATTGTACGTAAGAACATTCTCGAGATGTGCAAATGGTCGATACTTGTTGGCATCTTCTAATGGCTGGGTAAAAGCATCCTTTTCCGCTAGATGGCTGGAGTTCGCGGCGCTACCATTTCCATTTCCCGATTCAGGCTCTGTCTGGCTGATTTTCGCGGCAGGGTATAGCCATACAGCCTTTTCGCAGTGACTCGCCAGTACAGCAACCTTGTTAGCATGGTTGATAGCCAGGTGGGCGTTTATCAGCACCAGGGTATTGACGATGACTTTGGACAATGGCAAGGCGTCCTGAAGCAAATTCCAAGCGTGAGGATTCGTGTCAATGATAATTGTCAGTAACGAGGGAGGCTCAGCATCATCCGCCTTGCTATTCCGGTCCGTAGCATCGATAGCGTTCATCTTGAGCTATTCTCGCTTGACTCTCCTGCATTAGCGAAGAGTCCGCCCTTGAACTTGTTGTCGTGCTTAGACAGCTGTGGTCAATGCCGTGCAATGACTGACCACACAATGCTGACAATTTCAGGACGGTATTAATTCATTGATCGAGCGAGCGCTTCTTCATGATGTGCTGCACACGCAATCCACAATGAAGTCCTCCTACTTGATTGACCTGCCCAATGCGAATCCAGCGAGTACAGGATAGTGTGAAGACTACTGCAGGCCAATTGACTGCCCCAGGTGACGTCGGAAAAGCGCACAAGCGGCAAAAGCCCAAAATGGACTTACCGACTGCCGAAGTTTCGCCGCGATGACGGTGTGTGGAGAGGATGTTTTTGTCCCGAAACCTCGAAAAGTAAAGCCGAAGAGTGTATGGGCATAGTATTGATCAACAATGCCTGCGCCACGACGTATCTCATGACCAGTAACATGCTTGACACTTATTGTTCTATACGAGTGATGCTCGATAGGTATGGCATCTTCCATGTCGGCGATGCTTAATCGAGCGGAGTCCGACTTCATGTGAACGCCTACATTTTTATATATTTGTAATGGCAATGGAGCATAGATGAAGTGTTTGTCTTTGTCTCTGCTACACCGGTCCCTGAGTCTTTGATTTTTTCGAAATTTTCATTGTCACCACGCGATTTCCGCTCCTGCGTCGGCGTTGCGGTGCCGATAACTGCTCTGGAACCAAGACTTCGAGACGAGGTCATATGTCAGCGAACATGAGTATCGAACAGAACCATTCAGGCTCGTCCACCGTGACAGTCGATCCCATAGAGCTCCAGACGATATCTGCACAAGAGAAACTCCCTCAGCAGCAAAAGTCATTCCTAGTACGACACGGTCTCAACCGCATCCGACCAACCTCCTCCAAGCCCACAAGCGATGGCAACTCCTCCGATCGTAATGAAAGCTTGCCGTCTCCAACCACGGCAGTCGAGCATACGGAAACATGGAAGAGCCCAGCGATTAACATGTACCGAGTTCCGTCGACCTTTTGGGCATTTGCCCTCATGGGTATGAACGACGCAACCTATGGTGCTATCATCTACTACCTTGTGGATTACTACGGACTGAGCTACACGATTATATCGCTCGTATTCCTCTCACCATTTGTGGGTTACAATCTTTCCGCTGTCCTGAACAACATGATTCATATGAAGTTCGGCCGTCGAGGGGTGGCCATCATGGGGCCACTGTGTCATATTCTCGCCTATATCATAATCGTTCTTCATCCGCCATTCCCGGTCTTGGTGTTGGCATATTGTTTGTCAGGTTTTGGAAACGGCTTGCTGGTCAGTATGTCTCGCTTATCTCAAAGATCTCACGAAACGCTGATTGATACAGGACGCAGCGTTCAATGCCTGGATAGGCGTCATGGCAAATGCGAATGAAATGTTGGGGTTCTTGCACGGCTTCTACGGTCTTGGAGCAACCATCGCGCCACTCATAGCTACAACTATGATCACAAAGGCCGAGCTGCCCTGGTTTTACTGGTATTATGTAATGGTAAGTGGCATGCAACTCCACCAGCTGAGCACGTACTGACACTTTCCCGATAGCTTGGTGGAGCGGTGGTCGAGCTCGGAATCTGCGTCCACGCCTTTTGGTCTGACAGCGGTGCTCGGTATCGCGAGGACAACCCACGAACGTCAGACGAGAACGGGTCGCGATTCAAGGAAGCACTTACCAAGGCCCCCTTTGCTCGCGTGACGTGGTTGGCGGCCATCTTCCTGCTAGGCTATGTCGGCATCGAAGTTGCCCTTGGTGGTGAGTTGCTCATCTTGGGATTGCCTGAAAGACCTTTTTGAATATGGTAGACGCTGACTTGGATTTACAGGATGGGTGGTCACTTTCATGATCGACATTCGAGGCGGTGCTCCTTTTGCCAGTGGAATGACGGTACGTGCGAGCTGATGGACACCATCTCTGTCTCCTCGATTTCAGGCTGACCATTCTAGGCTACGGGATTTTGGCTTGGCATCACACTCGGCAGAGTCATCCTGGGTTTCGTCACTCCCAAAATCGGAGAGAAGCTCGCCATCTTGGTACGCTGAATAAAGTCTTTGCTTTCGAGGTACTTGTCACTGACTATGTCTAGATCTACCTACCGTTGGTCATGGCCTTCGAGTTATGCTTCTGGCTGATTCCACAATTTTACGTCTCCGCAGTTGCGGTCGCCATGCAAGGCTTCTTCCTGGGCCCGTTGTTCCCCGCCGCAATTGTCGCTTGCACGAAGCTCCTTCCCAAACACCTCCACGTTTCGGCGATCGGGTTCGCAGCAGCTTTTGGAGGTAGTGGAGGCGCCATTTTCCCCTTCGCAGTCGGAGCGCTCGCTTCATCTAAGGGTGTTGCTGTGTTGCAGCCCATTGTGCTGGCGATGTTGGCAGCCATCTGGATTGTCTGGCTGGGACTTCCGAGAATTGGGAAGAAGTCGGAGTGAAGCGCTACACGCGAATGGAGTATCGCGAGGTGGTCTGTGATGTTTGAGATGTCCTTTTTAGATTTACAGCCGCATGCCTACGACGTCGTGTAGCTACGAATGAGATGGTTAACGAACGCAAGCAAAAGATGATTCATCGAGATCACATCCCCGCGAAACACTCTCAGGGTGTGGTTCCGTTAGGGTTACAGGCTGATAGTTACACAAAAAACCTGACACAGCGAGGAAGGTGCAAGCGAGATCCTCGCTCAAATGTATGTGTGTCTGCCCAGGTGTATTTCTTGTAAAAGTTTGAACGGTTGACTGTATGAAAAGAGATGGATCTCCTGACTAGATACGTCGGTGGAGCCCCAACTATCCACTTTCAACAAACCTACCTGACCTGAATATAAGGACAAATCATCCGACTCTACAATGGCCAAACCGGGCCCGACTTCATTCCACGCAGTCGTGGAAGCCTTGGATACAGTTCCAAAGTCAAATTCTTTGTACGACCAGGAACGAATCACACAATACCGGACTGGCGGCTATCATCCTACTCGGTTAGGCGACACGTTCAAAGAGGGCGGATATAGGATCGTTCCCAAGCTCGGGTGGGGTGGCTTTGCGACGGTATGGCTAGTCAGAGATGAGAAGTAAGTAAAAAAGGACATGTAGTGGTACTGTATCTTGACTTACATACATCCCAAGGCTGGAAAAGTGGGCTTCGCTAAAAATCTGCGAGGCGAGAGCTGAAACTGCACCGCGTGAGGTCTCAGTGCTCGAAGCGTTGAAGCATTGTGGAGCGTCGGAATATATCCTCGACGTTTTTGATGTGTTTATGCATGGCGGTCCCAACGGTTCGCATGTGTGCATTGTGACCGAACTGCTTGGACCATCCGTCCACTATGTCCTGACCGACTATGGCCATGGTGGTGATAAGTTGGACCGCGAAATTATCATTCGCGTAGCGACGCAGATCTTGCAAGGCATCGCGCGATTCACGAGGCTGGATATGCTCATGGTGGTAAGCAAATTAAAATCGAGGAATCAGCAGAACAATGTTAATGCCGTGCTCGGTCGTGTAGATGTCAGCTGCGCAAATGTTTGTTTCACTGCGTCAAACTTGGCGAATCCGTCAGAGGATGCACTTCTTGATGTCATTGGGACACCCGCATCAGCAATAGTAGTGCGAAAAGATGGATCGACTTTGGAGTCCAACCTGCCAAGCGAAGTTGTCCGAAGCGCTAGCTGGAAGGAGTGGGCAGATGAACTCGAGGAAGACATCCGACTCATTGACTGGGGAGAGGCATTCCCACTTGGAGAAGCCCCATCTGGCCTTGCTCAGCCCCTCGACCTGAGCGCACCAGAAACCATCTTCGCCGATCAATTCGACCACCGGATAGATCTCTGGAGGGCAGGTTGCGTAGTAAGGGCCGAAATCTTCTAGTTCAAGATGGCTCGACTGACCCCAAACAGATATATGCTCTGGTGTTCGGCATCTATCCATTCTCATTTATTCTCAAGCAGAGTGATCTCATCGGGCAAATGATCGAATTTGTAGGAAGGCTACCGTCAGAATGGGAAGAGAAGGCGCAGGACTTAATGAAGGATTCTAAGCGCGCTTTTCCATGTGAGTCCCGAAATTATCACACGAACTGGTGCCGAGTACGAGCTGATTAGAGAAGCCCCCGACCAGACGCTGCCGAGATTGGACAGTCGATTCTCAGAATCGGCGGTCCATCCAGACCTGCTGGGCCTACAGCCGATCATCAAAGGCTTGATGAGGTTCCTGCCGTCCGATCGATTAACAGCGTGTGAGGCGCTGGAGCTACTCCCAGAATATGAGTACAGTGCGGACAGCGAGGACGATGAGGACAGTGAGGACGGTCAAGAGCTGTGAAGTCATCAATGGCGTTCCAGCCCGCAAATTTTCCTCAGATAGCTTGCTTTGGTTCGTGGATATTAATTCAAGTTCTTTGCTTGAATGTCAACGTTGCTGGAGTTGCTCACTGGGCGTCTGCGCCTCTTCTAGGAAATGGAGCATCGTGACGACCGACGATGATTTACAGACGCGGACCTCTGGTTGCTGTCATCTGTCTTCTTCGATGACAAGCGAAACCTTCGCGTCTGGCGAACTCTCGCGAGACCTCGTCACATCGCACCTGCTGGAAATGGTGGTAGTAGTGTTGGGCTCGATGGGAATGCGCTTTTACAATAGTGTTTGTTTTGGCTGATGTACGTGTGCATGCAGGGATCGAAATCGGACGGGGCACTCTGATCTCTCAATAAAAACGAATCAACGCTCGCCATCACCCGTAGAGTACGTGAAGCGGGCTGAGACCATAAGAGGCGTCGGAAAGGCTGAGTATCGGGTTAGTCATCGGAAGAAGACCCGTCCGATTTGACTTGCTCCCCTCGGTGTAGTTGGAGGTGTATTCGATAGGTCATAAACTCAGATTTGAACTCCTGCGAGAGAGCATGGATCGCATTCGAGTCTGCGTTTAGATACACCTCTCTCTCTTCCCGTGCTCAATCTTTCATATAAGTCACGTTGTCCACGCATTGTGTTCTACATTCATTTCATAGTCATACTCAATATATCGAGGTTGTCACATGAAGTGTCACATTGTCGAAGGAGACGACGCCCACTTAACCCGTCTATTACCGGAACGGCCATCATCGCTAGCCAGGCACGCCGGCCGAGAACCATGACGCGCCTGGTATGCTCTCTCCTGCAAGTCATCCGGATATCGTCTTGTGAAGCATCCTCCTCTTCCGAAGGGTGAGTGGAGACATGCCTTCTCTAGAAACGCCGCCATCGCCGTCAGTGCTTGGGGGTGGAAGAAAACTTGCCGGGTCCCATCAATTCTCCCCACATTTTCGGGGAGCCAGTCACAACCGAGACTGCCCTCACGATGAAGCCGCGACTGCCCTGTATGAAGCCGCTCGAGCTCCAAACATGCATGCGAGCAGATGGGGCAACTTTATGCACTGCTAATGGAAATCATGACGACGAATTACTTCAGCCTTCAAACGCTAAATGGGACAGACTCGATGCACCATCTGCCTCGTGAAGCCGTCTGGTGATTTGAATCCTGAGAGTGGGGCTGTGATGGCTTTGAGAGCTCGAATGCGGTACTTACTTTGCATTCATACCACGCACTATGATGTCGCCGACAAATCAGATCGCGATGCAGTGTTCCCCGTTCATCCAGAGAAATGCCTCTGACCCGGATGTGCTGTCCATCCGAATGCGCTGTTGAGAGGTTGCCCAAAGGATATAAGCATGTCTGGAAAGCTAGAAATCTTGCACAGCATATAGATATCTTCCTACCGGTTGCTCTTTCTTTGTTTCTTAACATTGCCGCCGTGTTGACATCCAACCGAATCATTTCATCGATCGATCGTGAACGATCATAGTCACCATGCCCTTTCTCGATCACCACGAGCCTGCCTCGGGTCGGATCATCGACATCAGGTCCGACTCTACAGGCATCGGACTTAAGCAGCAAATATTGAATGGCATCTCGACGTCGAATGGCGAGGACAAGACCTTGCCAACTCTTCTGTTGTACGACAATAAAGGGTTGAAACTCTTCGAAGACATCACTTACCTCGATGAGTATTACCTTACTAACGAGGAGATCAACTTGCTTCGTGACAATGCAGCGAGCATCGCGGAAAAAATTCCCAATAACTCCATTGTGGTGGAGCTGGGGTCCGGCAATTTGAGAAAGGTGAAGTTACTCCTGGATGCGTTGGACAACGCAGGAAAGAGCATTGTCTACTATGCTTTGGATCTTATGCACTCCGAACTGGAGCGCACGTTAGAAGCTGTGCCGGTGGGTACGTTCGAGCACGTGAAGTGCTTCGGCTTGCACGGGACCTACGATGACGGCCTCGAATGGCTGAAAAAGCCGGAGAACCGCAGGAAGCCGAAACTCATCATGTCTCTGGGCAGCAGCATCGGCAACTTCACCCGCGAGGAAGCGGTAGGATTCTTGTCAAAATTCATCGAGATTCTGTCTCCTCGCGATGGGTTTCTCATCGCGATCGATGCGTGCCTGGACGGTGCAAAAGTCCACAAAGCGTACAATGACAGCATCGGAACCACCCACAACTTCACCCTGAACGGCTTGGAGCATGCGAACAAGCTGCTTGGCCGTGAGGCGTTCAGCCGTGATGCATGGGAAGCAGTCGGCGAGTACGATGCCGCGGGAAACCGGCATCGCGCATTTGTCAAGCCAATACTCGATGGAGTGGAGGTGGAGGGAGTTCCATTCCAGCGTGGCGAAATGGTGCGCATCGAGGAATCTTACAAATATTCCCACGAACAGTCTTCGACTCTGTTCGCATCGGCCGGCGTCATCGAATCGGCCGTCTGGAGAAATGAAAAAGCCGATTATGGTAATTATGCACCTCCACGACTTGCACTCCCTCCCACTTTGCGTCAAGCTGTAGCTGTCCAGCGGGCTTCTCCAGTGATCTAGATCTCCACTTTACGTAATCTGCTATCGACGATGATAAGAATGATATCACTGACGATGTCAACACTCTTCACAGGCCTACATCTCCTTGCGAAATCGAAGAAAATGTTTTCACGAAAGCCCGAGAATTACGCTCAGCATCCTGTCCCGACCCTGGACGAGTTTGAAGAATTATGGGCGTCATGGGACAACGTCACGACAGGAATGGTCCCCAACGATGAGCTTACGAACAAGCCTATTCACTTGCGCAATGCAATAATATTCTACCTGGGACATATCCCCACGTTCCTTGACATCAAGCTCGTCGAAGTTCTCAAGCTTCAACCGATCGAGCCGAAATATTTCCAGAAGATCTTCGAACGAGGTATCGATCCGGACGTCGATGACCCGTCACAATGCCATGCCCATTCGGAGATCCCTTCCGACTGGCCTTCCTTTCAGGTTGTATTGGAATACCAAGAGCGTGTGCGACAGCGTGTGATTGACCTATACGCATCTGGCCGTCCATACGACGATCAACTCACCGGTCGAGCCCTGTGGTTGGGCTTCGAGCATGAGGTCATGCACCTGGAGACATTGATCTACATCCTCGTCCAGAGCGATCGCACGCTTCCGCCCATCGGAGTTCCACGGCCGGAGTTCGAGCAGCTTGCTGTGCAGGCCAAGAAGGAAGAAGTCCCAAACGCGTGGTTTGACATCCCCGCGCAAACCTTTGAGATCGGTATCGATGACCCTGACAATGCCGAGGGTCCAACGAGGTACTTCGGATGGGATGTCGAAAAGCCGAAGAAAGCCATCTCGGTGCCTGCTTTCAAAGCCCAGGGCCGCGCAATCACCAATGAGGAATATGCTCGTTATCTGCTTGCCACGAAGAACGATACGATCCCTAAGTCATGGGCGAACGCAGCAACTAATCCAAGAGCGAGCGGCCTTGTGAATGGTCACACCAATGGCCAAACGGATGACCAAAGCAATGGAGATTCAGCCTTCGAGCAGTTCATCGCTACAAAGGTAGTTCGAACTGTGTACGGCCCGATTGCTCTAACTTACGCCCTCAGCTGGCCCGTTGCAGCCTCATACAACGAGCTGGACGGTTGTGCGCATTATCTCGGTGGTCGCATTCCAACCGCGGAAGAAACGTGGAGCATATACGAATATGCGGAGAGAGTCGACTCCATTCTAGCCAAAACCATTGGAAAGAAGATTCCAGCAGTGAACGGGTATGAAGGATATTCAAATTTTCATCGCGACTGATGCTGACAGGCGTGTATAGTCATCTCATCAATGAAGGTGTGCAGGAGACACCGCCAACCAACACCTCCACAAACGGTGCTGTCGGAGGACCAGACGCAAAGGAACTGTACGTCAACCTCGATGAGGCAAACGTCGGTTTCGTGAACTGGACCCCGACTCCCATCACCGCGCACGGCGACAAGCTCGCTGGACGTTGCGGTATGGGCGGACTCTGGGAGTGGACAAGCTCTCCTCTCGAGAAGCGCGAAGGGTTTGAGCCGATGAACTTGTATCCCAACTACAGCGGTAAGTCGAAAAGATGATTCAGATGGTGTCGATTCATGTGCTGAATCTAATTTCTAGCGGACTTTTACGATGGAAAACACAACATCGTCCTCGGCGGTTCTTGGGCCACTCACCCTCGCTTTGCTGGGCGAAAATCAGTGTAAGTCCTACACAATTTGTTCTTGTGATGCGGGCCATCGGCTGACTTCTTGCGTGCATAGTGTGAATTGGTACCAACGCAAGTACCCGTACGCCTTCATCGGAGCGCGGTTGGTGAAGGATATCTAGGATCTTCCAACCAGCAATGTTAGCAAAGATGTATACTTAGGTAGGCATCAATATTCACTCATTCACTACACATCACAACCTAGCGCTATATGGATCTGAAAAGGTATGACGTGTCACATTTCTTGTGCACCTGGGCAGTGAAATGTGTTTTGGGTTTCCGCGGAAGCTAAAATTGACAACACCCATGAATGTAGCGGATCACTCCTGCCGTGTTTCAGCCTTCGTTGTTGTTACTGCTACAATGTAATTCAGCATCAATTGCAAGATAATGACAACCTTGGAACTCTTGGTTTAGCATTCTTTCACTTGGCCTGCATATCGTAAACAAACACATTCGTTACGACGCGTCATCTAGGTGGTCACCCGTCACGCGCGCTGGTGATTGTAGAACAATTTATTGGAAGTACGTTCCAACTGAATACAAGTATGCGCCATACATCAGCTCCGGATTGTTCTTCACCAGATCCCAGTCCTCGAAGATCGAAGGTACAAGAATTGAATACACAGCATCGACTCGAAATTCTCAAGATCGAGCCTGCCACAACAATCAATCGTTGAACATCGCAGCTTTCTTTAAGATGCCCACCGATCTATTCAAGTGGGAGGACGGAGCAGGTCTCCACCACCACTGTCCAATTTGCAAAGCACCGCTCCACCACGAAAAATCTCGAAGTCGATGCCTCGGCGTCCACGTAGAATGGTGTCATCGATATCATACCCTGTTCCGCAAAAATTGGAGCTCTCGCTGTCAGGCGTGCAAGATCTGTGACGAGCAGGAGAGGAAACGGCACCGAGAGATTGCCGAGATCCTGGAGAAGATAAGAAGGTTGAAAATAAATCAAGACACATCAAGCACTGCTTCCCGATTGATCAACGCACCCGACAGCCTCGAAGAAGACGAAGAGCTCGTGACTACGATCCCGTTGAAAAGGGATCGGAAGTTGATGAGAAAGGCGATCAAGGCAATTGAAAGGGACAAAGCCATCACTGCTGCGGACGTGGAACACGTGAAGCAGGTCCTCTACCCGCAAGCAGACGCAACGGACGAAGACCAGGACATAGCGATGAATTTGGCGTTCCATGGGGCGACGTGCAACGACAAGTCGGTCAGATTCGGCCTCATCGAGCGAGACACTCAGACCGGCGATTCGAAAGAGGATGATGTCGAATTACAGCGCATCCTGGCCGAGTTCGGAATTGCGACAAACGTGGACGCGGCGGCCACCTCCCTCATGTCCGACCTCGTTGCAGCCATCTTGCACGATCTCGAATGCCATCGCAACGAAATGAGAAACTTCGCAAGAAACCGAGCTGGGTTTTGGCGATGGGCTACTAGCAAGGCACTCTCTCTGCAAATCGAGCACGGAGGAGCTTGGGATGCCAAACCCAGCGTCGCTACTTTCGCTGACGAATCAAAACATAGAGCAGACGAGAACATTCGCAAACTCCCCGACCTCCAGAGCGCCGACACCACTACCTTTTTCACCAGATCTCATTCGTCCCAGTCACCGCCAGCAACCGACCAGACTCTGCTCTCAGTTAAAAAGACTGGACTCAAGCGTTCCGCTTTTACGAGCGGAGCGCAAGCTCCGACAAATACTAGGCTCGCCAATCCATGGATGACCCAGTTGCGAACAAAGAACGGCAAGAAGTTTCCCCTCAGAGAAGGCCGCACAGTCAAATTATCATCAAACAATGGCCTTCATCATCTCAGAGTCAAGACGGACCCGAGATCCTGGCACGACTTCGCGACTTACTCACATGCTTCCACCAGCGGCGAGGAATATATGCACTACGACAGTGATTGTTGATTGAAGTGGATGTCAGTCTCTAACCGAGGCGCGATGTGCTCGTCGCGATCGTATCTTCAAGTTGTTTGTTGGTTCTCGTTGGCTTGTTGTTTGATGATTCGGGGTTGATGTGTAAATTTGCTTGTTGAACTTTCTACCTTGAGATAGAGCCTTTTGCATGAGGCGATTCCGGCTTTTGAACATTCTAGTCTCAGGACGAACAACTTTATACAGCAGAATGCCTACACCGATGGGCAGATCGATAGGTAGTAATCCCAGAGCTTGACAGATGTACATTTGTCTGATAAATGTCCAAGGGTTGGCCAATGCAAATTCCAGGTCGACGACTTTTGTCATTCGGAATTTCGACTTCAATGCTTGTATGCGCAGCTGATATGATAGGTCACATCATTCCATCGGTATCATCGAATATTTAATTACCCATCACATACTCATGTAGAACTTAACACAATAGTGATGAGCATCGGAAGGACACCTGCTGGTATCCTCCTCAACTCGATACAGCGACAGTTCAACGGCGCGTTTACGAGACTATGGCAGGATGGTGCAGGACGGAAAGGGCGCATCGGCCTTGCCATCAGCGGCGGTGTCGATTCGATGGCACTGGCCTGGCTGTGTCATGAATTCCAACGCAATCACCACGACGCTCCAAAATTCACCGGCTTTATTGTCGATCATGGCGTTCGCGACGGAAGCGCCATTGAAGCCTCAAAAGTCGCTGGCGTCCTCAAATCTCTCAAGATCAAGGCAAAAGTGCTGAAGCTCGACTGGTCGTCATCGTCAACTCCCACTGAATACCCGAGTGCGATTGCTAAGCCTGGTGCTGCGTCCAATTTCGAGACAAAGGCTCGGAAACTGCGCTACCGAGCTCTGGGACAGGCATGTTGCGATGCGGGAATTGACTCTCTCGTCATCGCGCATCATCTCAACGATCAAGCTGAGACGATGCTTGTTCGGATCCATAGCGGCTATAATGGAGATGGCCTTCGTGGGATCCAGCCAGAAGCGCTATTACCCGAGAACGATGCCTTGACTAGGAATCCTCCGAACTTCCAGCAAGGTCAATATCCCGACTCCCATCATCATCCGAGTCAGCTCGGCGACAATCTTGGACCGATCAAGATCTTCCGACCTCTGCTCGACTTTACGAAAGAAGACCTCATCGCGACTTGTCGGGAAGCCGGGGTGGAATGGTTTGAGGATCATACCAACGCTGACAAAAGCTTGACTATCCGGAATACCGTCCGACATCTTCTGAATGGAGACGATCTGCCCAAGGCGTTACAGACAAAACGACTCTATCAGCTTGCGACAAACGTTCGTGCTCAAACAGACATGATTCACAAGCTCGACGAGGCAGCGTTCGAGAAAGTCAAAATCAGCCTCAAGCCTAGCGTAGGATTGGCAACATGCGAGATTGACACATCGCAGAAATTGGCGCCAGAAGGCGACGAAGCGCTTGAGAACCACGTCCGTGCCGGGCTCGTCCGACGCTTGCTCTCGCTCGTCAGTCCCACGGAGCTCATCTCCCTACAGGCCTTAGATCTCGCAGTGGACATGATATTTAAGGCCGGGACGACCAATTTCAGCACCTTGGGAGTAAGCCTTCCGATCAAGGCGGTGGTTGTTGCTGAAGTGGAGATCCGCGACCGCACCAAAGCTGGCACCGATTCCCATGTGCGTCAACTCACGCTTTGCCGCACCAAATCTTCGGATGTCAAACGTAGTGAAGCAGATCTCCATCTATCCATTCCAAGTCATCCGGAAGCCGCCATCCAGGCTAATGATGTGCTCACACAAGTCCAGAACGACAAGATCGCGTGGACATCCTGGCATCTCTTTGACCACCGCTACTGGATTCGCGTCGGCCGCCGAGAATTCGGCGACCTCGAAGCGTTCCCGATGCAGTCTCCCCCAAAGATCGTCATCCGCCTCCTCAATCAAAAAGATCTCACCCAGGCCGCAAAAGCGATTAAATCGAATCACCCTCGCCAACTTTACAAGAAACTTCACCTGAATCTCCGCAACGCCCTCGAGGCGGTTCCCACTCCCACCATAGCTAACACTTCCGTGGAAGGCCTACGAGCCACTCTTCCCGCCGTCTTTCTTTCCGCGGAAATGAACAACAACAATAACAACAGCGGCGTCGAAACTGACGAGTTACTCGCCTTGCCCACACTTGGGTGGATCCGCGGGGTGGTGACGACCGCAAAGAATCCGGCCGACGACCCGCCGCAAGAATGGGTCTTCGATTGGCGGTACAAGCAAGTAGAGTTGCACCCGGGAAACAACCCTCTGCATACCATTGAGGGCCCGGAGTCGTGGACTTCTGCTGCGAAGGATCCCGCTCGGACTACTCTTTCCCCACGTGTGAATTCTCATCATTATCTGCAGAGGAAGTTTCAGCCCAGGAGGACCAAAGCGGTCTGAATTTTGTATCACCTATGTAATCTTTGGGCGCGTGTATCGATACGGGTTTTATTTAGTATAGCGAACGAGTCGGGAAATGGATGTTTGTCGCGTGTATATTCTTGATCTTTTTCCGTGTCCTAGATATATTGGCAAGGTTACAATATGCTACTTCGACATTCGTCGCTGTGCGCTTCCGCTGGACCAAGGTTCTGTACGAATTCGCCAGAACAAGATCCAAGCCTGAGACCGGCAGCGAACCCCACAACGGGTTCATTCCTTCGACCCGATGGGATAGAAGAACAGCCGACTCTTTTCGATCGGCTTAAACGCCTCGGTCTCGCATCTCAGGAGGCATCTCAACGGACAAACCGCCTGCCTCTGGGCCATTTCCGCCGTGATCTCCACATCGGCCCGGGTGAAAGATCCAAAGATCACCGATCCGACGACGGGTCCTTCACGACTGGACAGGTTCCGCACGATGGCCAGCACGTGATGCGGGAAACACCGGTCCAACTCCTCGCCCAGCGGCCGCCGCATGCGTCGCTCTCCTGTCGGTAGCTCGCGTGGACCGACCAGTGGTCTTCCATCCAGGCCGGTCGGAGCCCTTTCAGCAGGATCTCGAAGTCCTGTGCGCTGACGGGGAGGTCCCATCCCAGCGGTGCTGGACGTCGCATTTCCTCGACGCGGGCCTTGCATCGTGCGGTCGGCGGTGGTGGTGCGGTCGCTTGCGGTCGGTGGGTCCCTCGTCGCGATGTCGACGGCCGTGAGGACTCCGCGCGCTCTTGTTCACCCCGTGACAGACAGAGAAGAGGTCATGGACGAGGTTCGGGGCTGTTTTCGGAAACCTATCGAGCGATATCATGGAGCCGAATGGCCATATCCCGATCGCAGCTTCGATGCAGTGGGCGATCCCATCATCGACCAGGCCGCAATTACAAAGGCCAATACCCTGGTGCCTACTATAGACACGAGGGTGGAATTCTCCTCTCACAGACGCACTCACCAATTTCCCCGGGCGATACTCACATCCTCAACGGAATTGTTGTGTCCAGAGCGAACGCGGCGCAAATGCGACAACAACATGAAGTAAACGAGATGCGTCGCGCACATGCATGCCAGCTTTCCGAATGAGGGAAACACAGACACGGCTGTCGCAGCGGCTTCTTCTCTCCATCCCCACCCTGGCATCCTAGCTATCTGGCCCATGCAGGCGAATCAAGCATTGGTGTGGGCTCCGTATGCAGAAGCAATGTAGAGCCCAGGTACAGATGCAATGCCGGGTCTTCTCTTCCGCGCATGACAGGTCGTGAGGTTTTTTTTAAATGTACAAATGCACCGTCATTGTCGATCCTGGCGCTGCATTTCCCTATAACGACCGGGAGGTCGAGTGGTGTGTACACCGAGGCCCGTGAAAGAGGGAAACAGGTGTGTGCCGTGTATGCCATAACGACTATGGAGTGTCTGCTACATAGGGTTCCCTTTCGAAGCCCGCAGGACCAAGCCCGCAAAATCATCGTCCGTTCGGCATTCGGCAGATGGTCGGCAGCTGGGCCTCTCCTCGGGGGCTCCTTCGCCGCCATCGCCGCCGCCGCGGCTGCCTGAATCCAGCATCCTTGCAGGACCCGTACTCGAGGGCAGAAAGAAAATAAAATTCTCCGATTAATCAATCTCAACCATATGGCGCGCGATCGATCGACCGGGGGGCGCAAATGACAGAGACCCCTGTCTTTTATCCTGGTGAGAGACACCCCTGCTCGAGGGACAAGGCACGGCTCGGCGGGAAAAGCCGCCTTCAACAATCCTCCCCCGTCGATGATGATGATAATGAATAAAACCACCAAGTTAGGAGCATTTCGCACATCACGACGACGATGGTGACAGGTCGAAATAAGTGTTAGATCTGGCGAACGGCAATTCCGAGGGCTCATCGCGGCTGCTGCTGCTGCTGCTGCTGTTGTGTGCTGTGCAGGAAGAGTGAAAAGTCCGGCTCGCCAACAAAACGGTCGCTCAGGTACGGACGGGAGATACATTGACGGAAATCCTCCAAATCCGAAGACTCGACGGGGTTCCAGCGAACCGGATACATCCCCGGCCGTGTCTCGAGACGAAGCTTTGCCTCGACCCAGGCGAGACCGGATGATGACCGACCGTCGTTGTTCGAAGGACGGTCGCTAGACGTTGGTAGGGTGGACTGACTGACTGTATTATTATTACAATGTTCACTGGTTGAGATGATCCCATTCCCGTGCCTGTCTCTTTCTTTTCTCTGACGATGTCTCTGTTTTTTTACGGCCGCAAGGATGCGAGGTGGCACCTTTTGCGCTGCGCTCGGGTTTTTCCCGTCGTCTGCGGCTGACTATATCGAACCCCTGTCTGAGGCTGTATGTGTGGGTTGTGTTGTATTTTGCGGACGGCTATGCTGTCTTCACCAGTGCTATATATATATATATATCGTCAGTGAGCCCTTGTCAACTTTTCGATGAGATCCAAAAGCTCACGATTGGCGATATATCAGTGTCTCGTCTGGTGCAATGTGAGTTGGAGCAGAGGAGGACCCTGGCCACGATTCTTTCCATCAATCCCTGCTTTCGGTTGGGACAATCACATGCTTCGCCGTGAGATGCTGCTGGACATGCTTTGCACGTGGCAGGGCCGGGATGAGGGAGACAATCTCAACCATGTGAGAAGCATATTCAACGGCTCGGGATCGCCTGGGATATTTTTCCCTCTGTCGCACGTTAGGGCCCCGAGTGCGTTAAAATTCATTCTACATCTTCGTCTTTCCTTCCACTGACTCAAGGTAATTATTCCCCTTGCGAGACGCGCAGCCCGTGAGACGGAAGATGGACAGAGGTGGAGTCTCGTGGGACGGGTGATTCCCATGGATGTACCTGACGATCCCGCGACCTGCCGGGTGACGATGCATGTGGGTTGGGAATGTCCCTGCAGGGAAAATCATCACATGCAAAACGTTTTGTTTTTGCCGCAGTGAGATGTCCTCCCGCTGCTCGATTATATCATTCGCCGCCAGAACGCACGCACGAGTCCCTTGCATGGCTGACGGAGGATTCGCATTCATGTGGACATGCCGATTCGCGGTGGTACCCCATGCGAAAGTGGTCCATTCCTGACTCTCTTCGGTCCGATTTCTGATGGAAATGCGCCAACGCAGGTACATATAATTACTCCCAGGGAGACTGTCACATATACGGCACAAGGATGTATCCGGCCGTCAGAAGTGATCGCGAGCATCATGATGATGGTTCAAGAATAGAAAAACCTTCGACCACGCTACCGTCCCTGCTACATACTAGGCAATGAGTGCGCATGGTCGTGTCTTTTCCCTCAACCAATTCTCGGAGCACCCCGGGCGGCCTGCAGGCCGATGCGTACTGTACAGAGAAGGATTCGCCTTTGAAAACCGCTTCTCTATTTTTTGGGGGGTTTTGGTACCCATGTGAAAGGGAAGCGTTTTCCACTGCCTGAAGACACAGGATATGCAAAGGATGTACATCGTACATGCCTCATTGTGCATACGCGTTGGCGCGTAACACGGCAGCAGTAATGGTAATATTTATGTCTAGTGCTATACAGTAGTACATCGATACATGCGACCATCACACACACATATACACACACACACACAACCACACGATCCGCCGACGACATCACCTTTTCACATGCCTGTCCTGGCCTCATGTGTAGAACCTGGTCGATGATGACAGCCAAGGGAGATTCCTCTCGGCCGTGGACAAGGACTCGTTTTCCCTCTTGTCTCAGCCCCCGAACGGGCTCTATTTGATCACCCATCCCCCAGCGTCCGTCCGGCTCGAGCACCGACCGAATCGTCCTTCTCGTGCGTAAAACAGAAAGAAAGGAAAAACGTCCTCACGTGGCGTGTGCCCTCTCCTCTCTCCGGGTGAGCCCTCGATTCAATCTCCAAGCCCTTTCCTCCCTGCGACCAGCCAGCATATACTGTACTGTACTCCTGCATGCTGCAGAGTCTATGGCGATGATGGGAAATCCCGAGGGGCGTAAACCACCGCCCTGATGGATCAATTAGGTAGGTAGGTACAGTACGATACAGTGCACCCTTCGGCGATGCGTTGCGTGGAGATACATACTGTAGGATGCAGGAGGGCTCATCATGCACTCGGAGGACCTTGTCGTAGTGGTGATGGAGACGGTGATGGTGATGATATGGTGGTGGTTTGATGCCCGGTTTCAGAGTGGTGGTGGTGGCGCGCTCATCGCCCGTCACCAGATCCGTTTTAGGTATTATCATCACCGCCGTCGAATAATATGGCCACCATACAGCGTCTCCTCCCTCTGTAGATCTTCGCTGCTCCCGTCGTCAGTCGTACTCGACATCGGTAGGTCATCGCAACGGTTCTCGGTCGGTGGGTGATTGGGTGGGTGCACGAGTCACTCGGATGCTCCGAAACCCTCTCCTCGCCCTTCTGTTCCGACATCGTCTCGTGCTTGTTGGGAAAGACATATCGCTGTTCCGAAGACTGTGAGGTACTTCATCTTCCGTATGCCACATCGGTCTGGATTCTGTTGCGGCACCTGTTCATAGCCTCTACCTTTCGTCACGAGTCACGACCGCCGAGACGACGTGCGCCGTCTCGCCTTGACATTCCGGCACCGGCGCCGACTGCGTACGATACATCCTTTGTCTTCTCTCTCTCTCTCTCCTTCTCCACCGAAGCCATTTGAACTACCTAGTAGTCCCTCATCGGATTGGTATATCCTGGTGAATTCCTCCACCTCTTTCCAATATTCTCCGATCAAACCTTTCAAGGCTCCGTCGACAGCTGGAGCCCTCGATACTGTACCGTTCTCCTCGGCGAATGCAGGGCAGGGCAGGCAGAGCACTACGACCACATACATATATATGCCTACCTACAGTACCTAGGTATAAAGTATATCCATCCAGCGCGCGGCTCAATCGCAAGCCACCTACACCTGCACTTTGCCCCACTGTAAGTAACAAGAATAATTCGAGAGGCAGCTCAGCACCAGCACCAGCACCAAGCACCAGCACCATCACCATCACCAAGCACCTTCCCTCTCGTCATCGAATTGCGTCTCTACCTAGTACCCGCCCTGGAGTCTCTACACACTCATCACTGCGCACACACACACACACACACACACACACACACACACGCGCGCGCGCACACATACAGACTTGGACGCTGCTGCAGGAAAAATCAAAGCTTGGGAGCTCGGCGCCTCTTCATTCGCCGAATGACAACCACTTTTTCACAACATACACCATACACCATACATTCTCACCTTCTCACCTTTCTCTCACTCTCTCTTTCCTCTCTCTCTCGCCCTCTCTCGCCCTCTCGCCGGAGATCTGTTGCCCAGGGTCTAATTGATCACCGTCATCTGCTACAGCACTAGTATTATTATATTACACATCTGAGCTGATCTCGTCACCGTCGCTTCTCCTCACGAATTCTCTCTCATCCGCATCACGACGACATTCCTACCATTTTCATACAGCACCGCCACTACCATTACCACCACCACCACCATCGGGGTATTTCCACAGTCACAGCCTCTCACTCGTGCACCATATAGCTTTCGACCATCACTTCCAGCTAGCCAACTCTCCATCGTTATTCGCAATACCGAATCGACCTCTCCGATCCTGTAATCCCACACGAGAAAATCCCATACGGATTCGATCTCGCTCACAGAACAAACATTCCACGCCAACGCGCCTCATTCCACCGCAACAAAGATCTCTCGCGTCGGTCATCGCGAGGGCCCAATTTCCACCTTCTCCTCTTCTCGGCGCGCCAACTCGAATTCTCGTCGGTCATCGGAGAGCGCGGCTTTGGATTTAGCGACGACCCCGCAATTGCGCATTCGGCATTGTTTCGTCACAGCTGAACCACAACCCCCGTAGACGGAGCTCCCGTCAATAACCCTCGCACATCATGTCGGCTCATACGACAAACCCATCCGCGGCGCAACGGACGAGCAACGACCCGGACGACACGGACCGAAAACACATGAGCTGTTCCCCGGAGGATGCACAGCAGTTGCAACAGCTGCGGACACAATTGCAGAACAATATCCAGCAGTCGCGCGCCGCCCATCACGCCTTTGAGCCCATATCGCTACCAGGATCGCAGCCGGTCTCGCGGGTGAGTGCTCTCGAGCGCTGAGAGTCCTGGTCATGACGAGAGTTCACGCTGACTGACAATTCCAGGTCGTCTCAGCATCGAGGAGGCCACCGCTCCCTGGTTCCGGCAATGCCTCATCGCAACCCTCGCCGCCCTCGTCGGCCGTCCACTCGCCACCCTTGACACCCGCCGCCAGTCGCTCCAAAGAGGCCGCCAAGCCTGTCCTACCACCAGCGGGGATTCCGAAAGATGTCATGACACCACAGCGGTCGACTTCGCCGCAGAGGACGCATGGAAGCGATGCCGTGACCAGCCAGCCTCGGCAGATATCGGCCACGCTTTCCGGCTCGGGCCAGGACACACAGCCGCCATCGAAGGAGACCAGTGCAGCGGTCACCCCCGTCACCACGAAATCCGGTCCTCCGAGTCACATCTCACTCCCACAGCAGAAGATCAGTGCGCCGCCCGAGAACGACGATGCTCAATATCGATTCGGCAACCGCGATCCGGCCGCCGGCTATGCGAACTCCGGGATCCCGAGTGCGACCCCTCCGGCCATCTCGAATTACTCGTCGTCGTCGGGCATCCCACCGTTGAAGACCCCCAAAGAAGAAGGTCGCAGTAGCAAGCGGACCAGTTTCTTCGGCGCCGTGCGGCTCGGTCACGATGATGATTCCGGCAAATTGGGAGACAAGGGTCATCATTCGAGCTCCAAATCCAACTTGAAGCGGTTCTTCAAGATCGGCGACAAGACCCAAAAGGAGAAAGATGGCGCCAAGCCGGGCGATGCATCGCAGAAGGACGGCGTGCGGACGCCCCCCGCACAGGCGAGCATAACAGCCGCTCCCCCCAGCGTCCCGTTCGCCGATGATCACGGTATCCAATCGAAATACGGCAAATTCGGGAAGATCCTCGGTTCGGGGGCCGGCGGCTCCGTGCGGTTGATGAAGCGTTCCGGCGACGGCGTCGTGTTCGCCGTGAAGCAATTCCGGGATCGACACACCTACGAGAGCGAGCGGGACTACAACAAGAAGGTCACGGCGGAGTTCTGCATCGGATCGACGTTGCATCACGGCAACGTCATCGAGACCATCGACATCGTGCACGAGCGGGGGAAATGGTTCGAGGTGATGGAATACGCGCCGTACGATCTGTTCGCCACCGTCATGACCGGCAAGATGGGTCGCGAAGAGGTCGCCTGTTCGACGTTGCAGATTCTGAGCGGGGTGTGCTATCTCCACAGCATGGGTCTCGCGCATCGGGATCTGAAGCTGGACAACGTGGTGGTCTCGGAGCACGGCATCATGAAATTGATCGACTTCGGCAGTGCCGTCGTTTTCCGGTATCCCTTTGAAGAGGACGTCGTGCTTGCAACCGGTGAGTCTGCTGAGTGGTGGGCTTCGAGATCTTGTTTTTCTCGGGTCCCACCGAATTTCGGATACATCGAGAAACCCTGCTAATCCTCCTCGAAACAGGCGTCGTTGGCTCAGATCCCTACCTCGCGCCAGAGGTGTACGATCTCCCTCGCTACGATCCTCGCGCTGCGGATATCTGGTCCATCGCCATCATCTTCTGCTGCATGTCCTTGCGAAGGTTTCCTTGGAAAGCCCCCCGGATCACGGACAACTCCTACCGGTTATTCGTCTCGCCTCCCGACCCCGATCAGGACAAATGGCTGAACGGCGGTGTCCGCGTCAAACCCGCCCCTGAGACCTCCACGCCCGCCAGTCGCGCAGGCAGCCGAGAGAAGGAAAACGGCCACGCCCACCACCACCACCACCACCACCCCAACGGCCATGACTCCTCCAAGACCACCGAGCAACCCATCGCCATCTCCAACAGCAGCACCCCGACCCCGACCATCAAAGGGCCCATCCGCCTCCTCCGCCTCCTCCCGCGCGAGACCCGCCCCATCATCTCCCGCATGCTCGAACTCGACCCCAAACGCCGCGCCACCATGGACGAGATCCTCGCGGACCCCTGGGTCCGCAACGCCCTCGTCTGCTGCCAGCGCGAAGACGGCGTCGTGGTCAAAGCACCCGGCCACACGCACACCCTCCAGCCTAGCAACGCTGGCGGAAACTAGAAGATCATCCTCGGGGCACTTGTGAGGCGGGTGCCGTCGGTGTCCATCCCGGACAGCAACGAGGATAGCGGGGAGGATGATGGAAACGAGGACGCGGAGATTCGGTCGCAGGATCTGAAGTGGAACAGCATCTGCGGATGACGGCCAGAAACGACCAGGGGAATCCTCGACCTGTCGCTTCACGAAGCGCGTTGTGGCATATTCTCTCTCTACTCAAAAAGACATGTCGGCGGGTGTTATATATACATATTCTTTTTGGTCTTTTGTCTCTCTCTCTCTCTCTCTCCCTCTCTCCTCCTTGTTCCATTAAAGGGAGAGGAGAGCATTATCATAATGATGAAACGAAACGCATGCTCGGTGCTGTCCCTCTTTTTTTTTTCTTTCTCGCTCGTCCCTTTCAACCTCTTCTTGGAGAGGATCACGGGATTCTTTTCATGGAATGCAGGGACGAAGAGAAAGATGTCTCCTTTTCATAACCCTCGTCCCTCAACGACGAGGACGATGACAACGACAACAACAACAACAATTGCATCTCCTTTAATTCTTTCCTCGGCACTAACGACAACGACGACGACGAAGACACAACTTCAACCTCTCCATCCTCCTCCTCCTCCTCCTCCTCCTCCTCCATCCTCCGACTTCGGCTCTCATGTCTTCGAGTCGGGGATTACGTCATCCCCATCGATTGGTTGAACCATGGGCGTTCCGCCAACGGCGCGCCCGCCGCCCGAGCTCAAGCTTTGGCTCTCTACCTCTCTCTCTTCCGCGCGAATTGCTTGTTTTATTTTTGGGGGAATTTTGGTTGCGGATCTCTCCCGATGGGCGACGGCACGTGGGGTGTGGTGGGCGGCCGGACAGATCCCCCAATGGGGGGGAATACACGTGCTTGGATGTGGAACGCGGTCCCTCACGATCGCATGGGAACCGCGATTGATGATCGATGCGGCTCGCGGTGGGTAAGGATCGAGGGGGATCCCGTCGCCACATGGGCAGTGGAGACTTTTTCGATGATCCTCCGTCCTTCACGCGGCGAGGTCCTGTAACGACACGCAAGGAAGCACATTTCCGCGATCGTGAGCACGGAAACCTCGCGCGACCTCGTCTGCTTCTTGTCTAGATTGCGCTACTGATAACACCCACCGTCCGTCTCTCCGCCGCCTCGACGACATCGTCTGAGCGCTGCCGGATTCACTACATCCCTCCCTCCCACCATCGGACCTTCTTCTTTCATCGCACATGATACCGGCCGTGGCACGGTGGTGAACCTTCTTCTTCTCGCTCGCCGTCTCTTCGTTCCTCCTCCCTCGCGACTCTCGATTGGATCACACAGACAGACCTCCTCTGCCTGTCGCCCAAAGCTCTCCCCGCATAGATCGTCTCGCACGCGGGCGCGCGCGCATTTCCGAACGATCCACCTCGTCGAGCAGAAAGAGACTACGACGACCGACAGAGACCCCCTCCAGGAGAAGAACGCCGGATCCAAGACCCACCGTCGAGATCTCGCTCCCCATCCGCGCAAGGACGCCCAGCCCCTTTCATCTCCCCCGCCTCAAACCACGACCCAACAGCAACGACCAGCGATCTCCGCCAGAGAGCGACCGCGCGCCATCATGGCCTCCCCCACCACCACCAGCGACCGCCCCGAGGAACCCCTCGCCGACATCCCCAGCCTGACGACGCAGCACACCAGCCCGTCCGACACGGCCGCGCGCATCGCCGCGCTCCGGCTCGTCACCGACAGCATCGCGCAGCAGCGGCAGGCGGCCAACAGCGCGCTGCTCTTCCACCCGTACAACCTCGCCGCCGCGGCGCTGGTCCTCGCCGCCGTCGCCCAGCTCCTCCGCGCCAAGCTGCACCTGGACTGGCTGGGGGTCGGGCTGAGCAGTATGGGCGTGGTCATGACGGGCATGGCGATCGTCCGGATGGTGACGCAGGGGTACATCGCGCGGGCGGAGAGCTACGGGCTGGACTGGCTCGACGGCGGCGGCGCGGATGCCGCGGGAGGAGTAGGAGGAGGAGGCAAGGAGAAGAAGAAGCAGCAGCAGCCGGCGGATGTCTGGGTGACGCGGTTCGGCGACGAGGTCATCGGCGCCATCGTCGTGGACTGGCGGGCCGACGCCCGGACGGGGGAGACCCAGGGCCGGATCAAGGGCTGGGCGGTCCGCCTGCGCTACCGGGGCCGCGGCGTGGGCGCGGCGTTGCTGGAGGAGGTGGTGCGGGCGGCGCGGGCGAGGGGCCTGCGGGGCGAGGCGGAGGCGGTGGTGTTTGCGGAGGACCATGCCAGTGAGTCGTTTCTCCCCCTTTTTCCTCTCTCTCTCTCTCTCTCCCTCTCTCCCTCCCTCCCATGTTGTTTTCTCAAAAGAAAGAATGAATGGATGAAAGAAAAGGGGAACGACCCGCTGACCTCACCCGCGTGTTTTCTTTTCTCCCTCCCCGAACAGATTCCCTCCGCGTCCTCCCCACGCTCTACAACAAACAGATGGACGACCGCGAGCTCTCCCACCGTCGGACCCTGGCCCGTCTGCTGCTGGCGGGGGACGGCCCCGCGGCCGGGGCCCCGGCGGGCGCCGCGACGACCGAAGGGACGAAATCGTCCTCGGCGAGGAGACGGTAGATGTTCGGCGGGAGAGAAACAGGATGTAGTTGAAATGGAAATGGAAATGGTTTTTCGTGGGAGGTTTCCCTTTCATCTCATTTCGTTTCGGGGGTTTTTTATTCTTTTTTTTTGGCACTGGACGGGATGGGATGGAAGAATGGGGAATCTTTCCGCGGCGTTTGGTGAGAGGATCTCTCTCTCTCTCTCTTTCTCAGAGGACGGCATCACAAATAAACAGACAAACAAACAACAACCGCTTCTCCGGCCCAGCAGCCGGGGTCCCATCAGCGGCCCCATCGAAACTCGGCGCCGATTCATTCATTCACGGGTAAGGTAGAGACAGGGAGGATCGATATGTCCGTCCGCGCGGACGAAGACGAGACGAAGCGGGTGCCTGCCCCCCATCGTCGGTTCTGTCCCGGGTCCTGAGTTCGGGCAGATTCAGTACCCATGGAGAGGAATGGTACTGCCGGTCACAGTGCGTATGCGCAAGAGCCAAATGGAAATAGAAAACGTAGGAAGCCATTTGAAGGGAGAGTTCGTCACCGGTTAGGGCCCGGCCAAAACGCGCCTGATGAGAGCGATGAGCATGTCCCTACGTCCCATTCCGTCTCTGCCGCGAGAATTCCATCTCTCCCTCTCCGTGCCGGACATGGCACACCCGAGGCGGTTTTGCTTCTCTCATCGGCCATCTCAGGTAGGGAGTGGGGAGGAGGGGTCATTTCCGAGATCACAGATCACTCCTGCGCATTCAGCTCGCAAAAAGAAAAGAAAACAAAAACAGTCAACCATCACCGCGTCCTGCCCCCCGAGCTGCGTCCGAACCGCATCCCTCGGCCGCCATGCGCCAGGCCCGCGTTGCCGCTCGCAGCCCGATCGTTCGATTTCCTGCTCATCGTACACACGGGACGGGGCTCCTCGCCGTGCATGCTCGCCAGCGCGAACGAGTCGGTGTTGTGCGCAAAGTACAGCCAGATCCCGTCCAGCGTCTTCTTGACGACGAGCGCGCCGATGGCGCCGGCGGAATGGCTGTGTCGGACCGAGGGGTGGCCGAGGAAGTCGGAGGTGATGAAGGCTTGGAGGGCCTCGGGCTCGTCGCAGGGCTCTTCGAAGGAGGTCGGGTGGGCTGGCGATGACCCCGTGGAGCGGAGGGAAGACGATGAAGGCCAGCTTTCGATCTCTACGTCGTCGGAGATGGGCGATGCCGGGCCTGAGCTCGCACGGGATGAATGGCCCGACGGGGTTGCGCTGCTGCGACGCACGTTCCGAGGGCGTCGTGGGTGGTAGATGCGTTGTGCGGCGGCATGCGCGGCGAACGTCGTGGCCATGTGCTCACCGGTCCCGCTGGTGACGGCCGCGACGGAGGTTCGATCGGGGTCGTTGGTGTTGACTGGTATGACAAAGGCCCCGACGCCGATCAGTGCAGCTGGCCCGACTCGTCCGCGGTGCTTCATACTAATTCCGCCAGAGGAGGCAGCGCAAGCGATATTGCCGTGTCGATCCACAGCAATGGCACCGATAGTGTCGGTGATGTGATCTTCTCTGTCTGGGATGGTATGCTCCTCGTCTCGAGAGAACGAACTGGTCTCGGTGACGTCGATGGAGGACCTCGTGAAAGCTTGTCTCGTGTCCCCTGCTCGTCGCGACTGCTCGAGAGGTTCCCTTCCGGACACTGTGTCTGTCCCCGTCATGGACAAGTCATCTTTCAGCTGTTCCTCGAAATGGAAATCGCTGTCGTGTTTCATGTGAAACCCGATCTCGTTCATATGAGCACCTCCTTCGGCAGCGCCGTCGGAATTCACGATACGTGACAACGATGCCGTCGAAGGGATTTGTTGGGTACTGTTAGCAAATGGATTGCGCGCAGTATTTTCAAGCATCCCGGGAGGTCCGACCGGATCGAGGTACGCTTCGGACTCTGGAGTAGTCGTGCCTGATCCGGGTCGCATGCGATCGTTCAGAGAGGCGATGGGCGACCGAAGTGAGGCCAAGGTGCTCTCTCGCGAGTCGGACGGCGCAGGCGACAGTGGCGTGATAGGGTGGCCAGAGTGCAGCATGCTCAACAGCATTGTCCTCTCATGTTTGATGCGACTCGCCTCGGCGCTGCCTGCCTCACTGTAGTACATATCCAATTCGCGTTCCACTTCGGCGAGTGAAGCAGACGGGCGAAAAATCCAGCTGTCGCCGTCGATGCGTTCCGCACGCATCAATTCGGCTCGCCATTTCTGCCACCGTTGTTTCGCGCTCGGCGATACGAGGTAAGAATACGGCAAGATTGGTATGCCGTGATCGTGAGCGAAATTTGTGGCTCCTTCGCCGACCAATAAATTTGGAGGTACGCGCCGGAGAGACAGAGGCTGAGAAGTGCAATCGAGTAGAACTCGGGCGAGCGAAACCGGGTTCTTGATTTCTGCTGAACATCAGTCATGCACGTCCGAGAGATTGAGCACACAAGCGGCGGCACTCACGCGCAACAGCTCCAACGGCTCCGCTGCGGCCCAGGTGATCGACGACGATGGCGTCGCATTCCACGACGCCGTCGATGTTGGGGTTGCTGCCATACCCAGCATTTGTAATCTCCCGGTCTTCCAACACTTTGATGGCCATCTCTGCCGCATCGACGGCCGAGCCGCCGTTCTTGAGTATCAACATTGCTGATTTACAGGCGCTGAGAAGGTCAGTAGAAGGTCTATACGTGAAAACTGGGGAAGGGTCTCTACGTACTCGGAGCATGCTTGGAGGTGGTTTCTTTCGTTCTCTTTGCTGTGGTATCCCGCTCCGGCGTGAACGAAGACACAAGACATGTCGGCATCTCCCTTGCGGCCGCTTCGTCGAGAGAACATGATGGGTTGGGGTTTCTGTGGCTTCGAGTCTCAGGTGATGGCGGCGTGATGATGATGCAAAAATCCTAGGAAGTGGATGTCGATCTTAGGAATGGAACGAGGAAGGTCGATGTGGACGACGATGCCGCTGGCGGGTAGTTCTGTGGGATATCGTGTCAAGGATCGACGAAACCAGCGTCGAGGTCAAAGCGAATGATGTCGTCGAGGTCGAGGCGGATGTCGTCGTCGATGTGATCTGATGTGGCCGTCAGTCCTGTGATACTCGCGATTCTGCAGGCCACATCGACACGCAGCGATCGGGCTCGAGTGTGTAGAGATGAGCGGGAAGGCGGAGGTTGAGGTTGAGGTTGAGGAATTTCGGAACGGTGGATGACGGCGAGGTGGATTTCACGACCGAGACTCGTCCCGTACTTGCAGGCGATGCTCGGTGAGAGTCAAGGTCAGCGCCGCTAGGCGGGAGTCTGGTGAAGAAAGAGAGGGAAGAGAGGAAAGAGTGAGTGAGTGTGAGTGAGTGGGTGAGTGCCAAATACGGCGGGTTCCGAGCAGGGAAGGAAGGCGTCGTCGGCGTGTCGGTTGTTGACTGACTTCACTCTACTAGATACCTAGGCAGGCAGGCAGGCAGGTAGGTAGGTAGGTAGATAAACAGGCACTGAAGACTCAACACACACCACCAGAAAGTGAACGAGTGGAGAGGAAGGCACTTGAGAGATGATGATGGTGATGGCTGGTGAACGATGTGGCAACGATCTTGCCCTGCTTGCTGGCTGTCACTGTTCACTGCCATTTGTTACCGTTGTTACTCTATCCACGGCGAAGAGCGTCAATGGTGTGCCCAGGTATCCATCAAATGTCCGCCCGAGTCGCAATTGAATTGATGACGAGCCCAGCGATTCTGCTCTGCCTGCCTAGGCACCTCACCTCGTACATCTGATCCACCACCACCGTCAACCCTCTCTGCTGGGTGTTCGAGATCACCATCATCATCATCATCACTTTTCGACATCATCATCGCCTGCAGTATCGACCCACAGCAGGAACAGCAGCGGTCGCGTTCATCTCCATCACCTGGGCACCAACCAATTTGTCTCCGACTCTCCGACAGATCCACGGTCGGGGAGGAACGAGGGAGGGAGACAATCAGTCACTCACTCCTCGAGATGTTACCACTGGCGATTGCCCTTCCACTGCTACATCCTGGGCTTCCATTGCTCACCGCCCACCGCTCACCTCGTGTGCGCTCATCAAATGGGACAGAACTCACCATACTTCAGCGCCACCACCTCGAACCGAATCTGACGCCTCGGAATGGAATGGATACAGTATCAGTGTCGGTATCGGTATGTCGGATCGCTGGACGTGGGTCGTGCTTGCTTGCTTGCTTGCTTTATTTCTTTTCTTATTCCTTTCTTGCTTTCTTTCATTCTTCCTTTCAGTGCAATGCTCGATTCGGCGCTCGGAGGAGGACCCAGGCATCGACAACAACGCACTCTTCCAAGGGTTATTGTTTCTAGGATCCCGAGGAAACGATGGGGATGATGGTGATGATAATGGAGATGATGGAGATTATAATGATGAGGGATACCACTTGGTCACGGAGATTGATTTCACGAGACTCCCTCCTCGTCATTGCAGAAGAAGCCAACAAAGAAAGGCCCGGTGAAATTCCTCCCCTCCAAAGAGTTGGCTGGTTGGTTGGTTTTGCGCCCAAAACTCCCGATTGCGTGGACCACCCATGCCTATCGCATACATAGCCTGGGCGATATTGGAAGTATCACAGCAGCGGAGTTGTAGGCGATGTCAAGTCGTACATCATCATCATCATCATCATCACACAATTTGACACGTTTTGAGGGCTTCGATGGTATCGGTGCTCGACATGGAGATCAAGTCTCGTCGTCAACATAATGGGACAATAATCATTCGACCATTTATTCGAGGACACGATTGGCCGCGGTTTGGGTGAGAGCTGGCGGTTGTAGGGCAGGCGTGGCGTGGGCTTCCATCAATGACAATACCAGGTTGGCTTCCTCTCAGCAGTAACAATGGGCGGGGCGGCGCGGGGCGGGGTTCCTCTCAGTCTCTCATCACGCATCCTCAGTGCGCGTGGTGGGTGGATGATGATTCAGCAGCAAGCAAGCAAACAGCTTCAGGGCTGGCTGGCGGGCCACAGTCCAGTGACGACAATGTTCGTCCAATTCCATTCCAACAACGCGCGGCACAAAGCCCCCAGAAGGCCTTCGGAATCCACCACACACGGCACTCTTTCACGGAGCAGCGATCACGACTTCACGACATCACGAACTTCACGCGCCCGAGGACATCGAGAGCTTTGCGTTTGCTTGTCTGGTCTGCGCTGCATCATCGTCACCATCGCTGCCTCGAAAGCGGACCGATCGGACACAGCAGCAGTCCCAGTTGATTATCCTCCGCCTCAGAGCGCCGTCCAGGTCGACCACATCGCCACTCGTCTGAACAGTAACCTTCAAATTCAAGATGGCGAACCAGACTCCTGCCGTTGTCATGGACAAGTACGTCTCCCGCATGCGCCGGCGCCGGAGAGTGCGCAATGCCAATGCTGACTCTGTCTCTTTCCAGCGGTACCGGTTACTCCAAACTCGGGTTCGCAGGTAACGATTCACCATCATTCGTCTTCCCGACCGCCATCGCGACCAAGGGACCATCGCCAGGCAGCGCAGGCGCGGGCTCGGGGCGTCCGGCGGTCGCCAGCAAACCTTCCTTCTTGACTGGCGGCGCTGGTAACTTGTCAGCGAAGAGAGGGACAGAGGACTTGGATTTCTTCATCGGTGACGAGGCGCTGGCGGCTTCAGCAGGACCTGGTATGTTGCGCACCAATCTGGCGCGTGGGAAATACAGAATTTTGAAGGGTTGACCTCATTCCAGGGTATGGTCTGCACTACCCGATCCGACATGGACAAATAGAGAACTGGGTATGTGGCTCGATCTACATGTTTCTCATGACTGTCGCATCGATGGTAGGTCACCACGACTGACGGCTTCTTTCCCACAGGACCACATGGAGCGCTTCTGGTCAAACAGCATCTTCAAATACCTCCGAGTCGAGCCTGAAGACCACTACTTTCTCCTCACCGAACCTCCGCTCAACCCGCCGGAGAACCGTGAGAACACCGCCGAGATCATGTTTGAATCGTTCAACTGCGCAGGTCTCTACATTGCCGTCCAAGCCGTCCTCGCTTTGGCCGCGTCGTGGACGTCATCCAAAGTACAAGACCGCTCTCTCACCGGCACGGTCATCGACTCCGGTGAAGGTGTCACTCACGTCATTCCCGTCGCCGAGGGATACGTCATCGGCAGCAGCATCAAAAGCATCCCGATTGCCGGTCGAGACATCACATACTTCGTACAGTCACTACTCCGGGAGCGTGGCGAGCCCGACTCATCACTGAAGACCGCCG